CATACCTGTTAGGATAGCTGTTAAAAAAAAAAAAGATAGCAAGTGTTGGGGAGGATGTGGAGAAATTGGAACCTTCCCACTGTTAGTGGGAATACAAAATGGCACATTGCACAAAAGTAGTACAGTGCTACTGAAAACATTATGAAGAGTCCTCAAAAAATTAAAAATGGACCTGCCATGTGATTGAGCAATTCCATTTCTGGGTGTGTATCCAAATGAATTGAAAGCAGGGTCTTTCAATATATTTGCATTTTCATGTACTGAAGCATTATTCATAATAGCCAAAAAGTGGAGGCAAACCAAATGTCCATCATCTGATGAATGGATAAAGAGCATGTGGTATGTACATAAAATGGAGTATTAATAAGCCCTCAAAAAGAAATCCTGCCAGATGTGACAACATGGATGAGCCTTGAAGACATGATAAATTAAATAAGCAAATCACAGAAAGGCAAATACTACATGATGCCACTTACATAAGGTATCTAAAATCATCAAAGTCCTAGAAACAGGGAGTAGAATGATGTGCCAGGCACTTGGGGGAGGAATAAATGGAAAGTTACTATTTAGCAAGTTTTAGTTACACAAGATGAATAAGTTCTAGAAACTTACTGTACAGCATTATGTTGCTAGTTAGCAATGCTGCATTGTACACTTAAAAATCTGAGAGGGTAGATCTTATGTTAGTATCTTTTTCATTGAAAAAAAACTAATAGAAAATAAATGTGTGGATTCAGTGAATGAAACCAACAATAAAACAGTATGCTAGATTTTTTTTTAAAGTAACCTTTGCTTACCAAAATCAGGCAATTGCTAAAACTTCTATTTCTAGGAATTCTTTTTGCCAAATATAGAGAACTATAAATTCAGAATAATCCCCCCAAACTGCCACTTTTTGTTATCTCTTTCTTTGTTTTAAGGGATTTCCAGGCCGATATCTTGCATGATTATGGAAGTAAAGATTTTGGAAATTAAGTACTTCCATCTGTATCATTGCCAAATTGATCTCTGTGTCCTATTGTATAACTGGTAAAAAATGCACTCAGATTCCAAATAAAGCAACCTATTTATGGTTGTTTTGTCAGCCTGCTTTCACAGTAGCATATGAAGAAAGCCTACGGCTTAAATCATTGTTGTGGCAACCATCTTTATTCCTTAACTTCTTTTTTCACAGCTTTTACATTTTTTTCCCCGAAGCCTTGAGCCATTATTCATTTTAACATGTTGTAAGTAGCAGCCATATACATACATCAGTCTGTCTTTAACAGTCTCTCAGAATGTGCCAAATTTTCATTCAGGGAGTTAGTTTTAATCTGATTTTATTTTTCATGCTAGTAATCCAGATTAGGATTTAGAAAATCTGTCTATATAAATGTAACTGTCGTTTCATACAAAGAAGATGTTTTTAAAGTATTCCAGGATCTGTAATAAAGTAAAAGCCAAACAGTACTAATTTATCATAATTTTTGCCTAAATGAATTTACAGCATTTGTCATGTAATCCTCTTTTATCCTTGTGGTATGAGAAAAAAACAGCCTGATGTACTTGCTGCCTATGAAATTTCTATTTATTTATTTTTTTTGTGTACCTTCATTCATGACATTCTTCTTTAAATGGTATATCTTTTTTTAACTCCCCAGGCTAAATATTTAAGGTTCCAACTGAAGCCCAGGCCAGTATTTCTGAAAGCAATTTTCATAAAACACTGTGCACATGATCCGTTATTAGATTTCGAGGGGAAAATAGGTTCCAAGGTCAAATAAGTTTGGAAAATTTAAATGATATATTTTAAGCAGATTTGAAATGGTGTTTTGTTTTGTTTTGTTTTTAACTTGATGTCTCAGAATCTTTGGTCTGCTTATATCCATTGTGACTCTTCAAGATGACAGTCTGGTATATAGTTTCTCAAACTTCTTTAACCATAGATATCTGTTTAAGAAATATTCTGTAGGGCAAATAGTCCTGTATCTTTCAGCCTTTCTTTTTATATATCCCTTTAAAATAAATCACCATCCCAGTGTCCTCCCCCATGCTTCTAAGTCTTCTTGAGGGAACTTGTACTCTTCATACTTTTTGGTCTGTCCTCACTTCAACATCACTCCTACCTTATTTTGTCTCTTGTGCCTGCTGTTCTTCCTCCGTTTTTCTCTCTCAGTAAGAACTAACTCCTCTTTCCTGATAATGAAGGAGATTAAAATTGAACTTCTGATATGTTAAAATTGAATTAAAATTGAACTTCTGATATGTTAAAATTCTCTGGCCATTCCCTTCTCCATGGAAGGAAACCCAGCCATATTTCCTCCTTCAGGCTCATTCTGCTCCAATATTACTGGGATACTATACTGCTCTAGGCAAGATCTTCTCTGAGCTGGTAGTACTGTCATTAGATGCCATTATTTAGTCCATAAGAGAAGTAAATGAAGATACTTTGCAAACACTTAAAAACCGGAAATAAAGAGTTTATGGGTTTACTATTTTGAATGGGGCAGGATATGCTGGAAGAAGTTTTCAGAAACAATAAAAAACATCCAACTTCCCTTTCAAACAGCAATATTTAATTTTCTTCAACTTTAATCATCTTAGTTAAGCTATGCCATTAATGTAGTACATGCCTTTCTGTGCCAGAGTATTTTACTAAATATTATAGAGAATCAGAAGTATCTCAAGATTTGGCCCTTACCCACAAATAATTAGTAGAGAAAAAAAAATTTGAAAAGATAACGTGTAAAGAGGTGAATAATACAAGAAATGCCCCCAGTTGATACATGTTACAAGATGAGTATATTATAAATAAGCAATGTTTTGAGTATACAGAGAGGAGAGAGGCACAGTTTGGTCTAAGTGCTCTGCAGAATTTCTGAAAGGATTAGACAGAATCTTGAAAGTTGACTAAGATTACTATGAAAGGTAGGGGAAGATAACCTGCGCAAAGGAGAGGGTATGAGCATGGCCACTTAGAGGCCACAGGATGTGTTTGCAGAGCATGGGTTGAGAGTTCTACAGGATATTTGCTAATTTGAAGAGGTGTCAAAATGTTATATGTGAAATACAAACGAAGCCTAGTGTTTGTATACTTACACATGTGGAATAACCCTGTATACCTGAAAGTATGCATACTTTTTTTTTCTAATACAAATGGGAACATCAATGTGTTTATTTTACTTTGCAATATATTGTAGGCATCTTTCCAGGTTTCCAAATCAACAGTATATCTTCTTTAGACTATTCCACTCTTTGGAATATAATAACAGAATATTAAATCAAATGGGCAAGAACATTTAAACTAAATTTACAGAAGACTCAAAAGTGCTAAAAGGTAATTGAATATGGGCAGTAACATGCAGCTAGATAATCTAATTTTTAAGGTATTTTCAATTTCTGGCTTCCTTCCCCAGCAAGTCATCTCACATTGTTCTTGACTTGCCTTAGTGGAGAAGGAGGGGTCAGCTTTTAAATGCCCAAGCTCGTTTTCCTATCTGAGAGCATCATCCATAGGTAATTGAAATTAGAATCTTTACCCACCTACCCATGCTTGTACTGAGCAAGCATATCAGAACACGGTACACTGACATCAGTATATAGGAGATAACGCTCATTCAGAGGGAAAGGAGGCAATCTTCATTTTCGGAGGTTGAACTATCAACCAGTAAGATTCCATCTGGCCCTCCGGTTCTGTTATTTCGTGAGTACCTGCAGGGCTGTGATGTGATTAAAAGCTATGACTTTCAGTGCAGAACTAAGACCAGTAGCTGGAAGATATAAAACGATAAGTGTTTATAAGATAAAGAACTTACCAACTTCCCAAGATGTGCTGTAAGGTAGTAATTCTTAATGGTGACCCAAAAGCTTTCTCCAGGGCTGATGCTGGTCGGGTAGGAGTAACTTTCAGAAAGAATCTCTTAAACTGATGGGAAGAAAAGTTACTTTAAGATTGCTTTAAGTTTTTTGTGTGTGGTAAAATACATAGAACATAGAATTTACCATCTTTACCATTTCTAAGTGTACAGTTCAGTGGTACTCAGTACGTTCACATTGTTGTGCCATGAATTGGGTCATGAAGTGGTTTGCATGTGGTAACCTAGTTAATAATAAGCATGTAATCTGACTCTTAGAGTCTTTGATTTCCAGTTGTTCTTCCTACTACATGTTTAGTTGCCAATGGCTTTTTATTGAAATGCTACTATTTTAGCAGAATTTGAGTTTTTAAATTAGCAGAAAACCTAAATTTACTGTAATTGTTAGGAGATGTGACTACTAACACTTACTATCTCTCTTTTCCACCTCTATTTCCATTTCAGTTCAAGGGAATTACAGAGAATATCCTTATTTTATAGAGCAGAGGTTGGCAAACTGTGGCCCACAGGCTCATCTGGCCCACAGCCTGTTTGGGTAAAGACTGTAAAGTTATATTGAAACATGACTACTAATATCCACTTATGTATATATTATCTATGGTTGCTTTTCTGCAACAACAGCCGGGTTGAGTTGCTGAAACAGAGACCATATGGTCCACAAAGCCTAAAATCTTTACTATTTGACCCTATTATAGAAAAACTTTGCTCACCCTTGTAATAGAAAAGTTTAAAAGAACAAACAACAGAAGCACTCAGGGAAATGATCAGTTAAACCACTAGCAGATTTGAGTTGAGAGTACTGGCTTTTTGAACTTTCCTTTGACCTTAGAATCTGAAAATGTGAGTTACTCAAGAAATTCTGAGTTTATCTAAGTGCTGTTTAAATTAATAGTGAACTTTTTTTTTCATATTCACTTAAAAAGCACTTGGCAACTATTTGTTTTGTGCCAAGTATGTGTCATGCAATGGAAATGAGCTAAAGTGAAGATACAAATCCTGCCCTAAGGAACTAACTAATGGAAATGTGGATTTTTTTTCCCTCATGTTTTAAGTATGACGTTTTCAAATAGTGATTTTTTTCTTTTTCTTAGTGACTGCTGTGTTACAGAAAACAAAGTGACTTTCAGAATAATCTGAGTGAGAAGGATGAGTCCAGATGTGCCTCTGCTGAACGATTACAAACAGGACTTCTTCCTGAAGCGCTTTCCACAGACTATTCTTGGAGGCCCTCGACTCAAATTGGGCTATTGTGCCCCTCCTTACATATATGTTAATCAGATTGTCCTTTTTTTGATGCCATGGGTTTTAGGTGGAATAGGAACACTTTTGTACCAATTAGGCATCCTGGAAGACTATTACACAGCAGCACTTTCAGGTGGACTAATGCTTTTCACCGCATTTGTCATCCAGTTCACAAGTTCATATGCCAGAAACAAATCGGCAACGGTGGAGAGAATGTTGACCACAGACATCTTAGCAGAGGAAGATGAGCATGAGTTTACAGATTGTGCTGGTGCTGAGACCATCAAATTTCTAATTCCTGGCAAAAAACATACAGCCAACATAGTTTTTCATTCTGTTCTTGCTGGATTACTGTGTGGTCTTGGAACATGGTATTTGCTCCCGAATAGAATAACCCTGCTATATGGCAGTGTAGGAGGCACTGTTGTACTCTTTGTCTTTGGATGGATGACGCTGTGTATAGGAGAATATTCATTAATTGTAAACACACCTACAGAGTCTGCAACTTTCCAAACCCAGGATGCTTATGAAATCACTCCTCTTATGAGACCTGTTTATATTTTTTTCTTTGTTTCTGTAGATCTTGCACACAGGTAATAAACTGTCAAATACTTTATAACATTCTTTATTTTTAAGCAATCTCCTTAGTATTAAAAAAAAAAGAATATGAATTAAGTCACCAAACCATTGAGTGATGTTGTATTTTTTTTTATAAGTTTTGATAATTAATCTCATAGGACTAATCTTTGTTAAACATTCATTCTAAAGCAGTAATTAAATCTTATTGAAGAGTTAAGAAGAAAATCCTTTATAAGTAAAATTTCATTCCTGTGTTTTACTTTAAATAAGAAGCCATGAATCTGTAACATAGCCTGGCTAAAACCTGTGAAAAGAGACAGAACTTTCCTGTGAGGGGAAAACAGAAATTTAAAATTGATACTGATAAATATTATACATAGATTGAGTGGATTTAAGGTGGATAGAATAACTTATTTAATTTTGTTGTAGTAACTATAGAAAATAATTGATTGTTTAAAATCAATTTACTGTAGAAGAAGGAGAAAATAGCAATTTTAAACACAATTATTTGACCTCTTTTGCTTGCCTTTTCTAAATCTGACATTTCTTTCTATAGTTTGCAGTTTTCTCTTTCACCAGTAGAAATGTAGAGGCACCTCTTAGGGCATCACTTCATGTTTGTGCCCCTCCATTCATATGTTGGAGAAGGAAATGGCAACTGACTCCAGTATTCTTGTCTGGAAAATGCTATGGACAGAGGAGCCTTGTGGGCTACAGTTCATGGGGTCGCAGAGTCAGACACAACTGAGTGACTGAGCACATTCCTATGTTAAATCCCTAACCCCCTTTGTGGTGGTATGTGGAGATGGAGTCTTTGGGAGCTGATTAGGACAATAAGGGTGGGGCCCTAGTGCGATGGGATTAGTACCCTTATAGGAAGAGACACCAGAGTCTGATTTCTCTCTTTAACATATGAAGGTAAAGGGAGAAGGCAGCTGCCTGCAAACCAGAATGAGTTTTCACCATACCTTGATCATGGTGGCAATCTGATCTCAGACTTTCAGATCTGTGAGAAATAAATTTCAGTTGTTTAAACCACTCAGACTATAGTATTTCTTAGGAGCTGGCTAAGATTTTGATACCAAGAAGCTGGGGTGAAAGTGAAAGTGTTAGTTGCTCAGTCATGTCCGACTCTTTGTGATCTCATGGGCTGTAGCCTGACAGACTCCTCTGTCCGTGGAATTCTCCAGGCAAGAATACTGGAGTAATTGTCATTTCCTTCTCCAGGGACCTTTCCGACCCAGGGATTGAACCCGGGTTCCCTGCAATGTGGGCAGATTCTTTACCATCTGAGCCACCAGGGATTCTTTTAGAAAATGGGGTACTCCCGTCACAAATACCTAAAAGTATAGAAGCAGCTTTGGAACTGGGTAATGGGTAGAGGCTGAAAGAGTTTTGAAGTGAGTGCTAGGAATATGGACGTTAGAGGCAATTCTGGTGAGCTCTTAAGACAGAAGTGAGAACAGGTTATTGGAAACTAGAGGAAAGGGCAATCCTTGTTAGAAAGTCGCGAAGAACTTATAAAGTGGTAAATAACTTAACTGAACCATTTTCTGAAGTTTTGTGGAAGGTAGAACTTGAGCGTAATAAATTAGGACATATAGCCGAGGAGATTTCTAAGCAAAGTGTTGAATGAACAGCTTGATTTCTCTTGACTGCTTATAGTAAAATACAAAGGAGAGAGATGAATTGAAGTAGGAATTGCTCAGCAAAATGGAACCAGAGGTTGAAGATTTACGAAACTGTCAGTCTATCCATATTGCAAAAAATGAGAAAGCATATTCTGAAGGGAACACCAAAGGTGTGGCCGGACTGTCACTCATTGAATTTAATGAGTTTCTGGAATTATATAAGTAGAAACACTTCTAGTTTGAAATGAAGATGTAATGAACGAAGGCTGTTCAGCTTCTTAAATTTGACAGGACAGGGATATTAGAGTTATTTGGCTGTGAACATGTGTTTATCTTTAAGAAGAGAGAATAGTGACCTCAAAAGTGATTCTGAGATTATCAGGCTTCAGCAGGCTAGAAGGTCTCTGCTGAAAGCGTTGGGTCTGGTACTGCTCTGTAGAGCTATGGTGTGTAGGACCCACGCCTAGGGCTCTTTGGGTCACATGCCACTCTGGGGACCTGGAGAGCAGAGTATGAAACCAAGGAGGATTATTTTCCAGCCTTAAATCTAATGAAATTTGCCTTGCCAGATGTTGGACTTCTTTGGGACCTAACACCCCTTCTTTCTTTCCTGTTTCTCCCTTTTGGATGGGAATGTCCATCTTTTGCCTGTCCCACCACTCGGTTTTGGAAGCACATGACTTGTCTGGTTTCATAGGTTCACAGCTGGAGAGGATTTTGCCTCAGGATAAGTCATACCTCAGGTCTTACCTGGGTATGATGTAGATGATATTTATATATATAACTTTGGACTTTAGAGTTGATGCTGGAATGAGTTAAGAATTTTGTGGCTGTCGGGAAGGAATGAATGTATTTTTCAGAAGAGAAGAACATGAATTTGGGAGTCTATGGTGGAATGTTATGGACTGAATGTATATGTCTCTTCAAAACTCAAATGTTGAAGCCCTAACCCCCACAATGTAGTGATTTTTTGTGAGGGTCTTTGGGAGGTAATTAGGTCGTAGGGGTAGCCCTAGTCCCTAATGGAATTGGTGCCCCTGTGGAGACACTAGAGAGTTTCATCTCTCTCCACCAGGTGAAGATGCAGTGAGAAATTGGCTTCCTGCAAGCCAGAGAGAGAGTTCTCATTAGAACCCAATCATAATGGCATTCTGATCTCAGACTGTGATAAATACATTTCTATTGTTTGAGCTACCTTGTCTTAGGATACTTTGTTATGTACCAGAACTGTGAGAAATAAGTTTCTATTGTTTGAGCCATCTAGTCTATCCTGCTTTGTTATGGTAGTCTAAAAGAAAACAAGGCATTTAACAATGTGTAGCCACTTTGTGTACTGAAACTGATTTTTAGATGTCTGATGTTCCTTAGCTCTTAATCTTTTCTAATTGTGATACATTTATGGACCAGAGGACACTATAACACCTTTGTAGTTATTCAGCTAATCAGATATGTAAAGAGAGAATCTATGGAAATTCTGTTGAAATTGATTTCTTAGTACCACTAGAATTTCTAACTATAAAACATGTTAAATGCTTGATTTTGAGAAGTTAACAAAATCAAGTTTAAATGCATGTTTATACATTTGACCCTTTTTGAAAGATTTAAGTTTATAAGATTATTATTTTCAGAATGTAAATTATTGAGTTACTTTCTCACTGTAGGTGAAATAACTGCAGATAAATATGAAATGTGTATTCAAATTTGGAGAGTTGTCAGATATGTCAAGTTGTATCTTAATTTCCTTTCAGAGAATATTAAAGTTTAAGAGATAAGCCATACAGTGTAGTAAATTTTTCTTTCTTCATCCTTTATTCTACCTAGTATAGTTGTATATTAATAATTTTTAAATGATTTGTTGTGTACATTTTTATTAAAGACAAGTGTTAAACCTATAATTCTTAATTCATAGACTCAGGAACATTATGAATGAATGATGCATATTTATATCATCTTATTTACTGTGTATTAAGAACATCTTTTTCTAGGTATGTGGATTGTGAATGAGTGTACAGAACTTGAAATATTTTTATGGTTGTTAGAAAAACAGGTTTTTTCTTGCAGGCTTGGATTTCTTTTTTTTTTTTTTTTTTTTGCTCTAGAAAATTCCTGTACGTTATCAGAAACTTTAAGATTTAAACATTTTTCTGTATAAAAGAACCACAGTAATCAATCATCTGTTTGATTATCCTGAATCATACACATAGGAAAGTAATCACAATGTTTGGTTACTTCAATTATGTGTTCTTATTTATTTGTGATATATTTATACTTTTCTGTACTATTGCTTGTTGTTTACTTTAAGGACAAAAACAGATTGGAAGGGCAGGAATAGAACTTAGGTAAATATTTCCTGAGTATACATTATTTTTACACAAATTACCCTTTCTTTGAATATGTTAGCAAGGGAACTGTTGTATTTTTTAAAAAAGAACAAAAATAGCTGTACAAATCTACACATTTTCCTTGACCTTCTACAGCATATTGTGTGTAGTTTGATTTTCTTTTTTGTTACTGGAGTGTTTTCTTCTCAGAATGAAATGAATCTTATTTTAAAACTACACTACAGCAAGTATTATCCTCTAATGTAGCATCACATTGTTAATTAATTGTGTTCATTAATTCTCTCTGCTTATAAAAGTTTGAAGGACATACATTATGAAGCAGAGTATATTAGCTTGCATCATCCTGGTATCAGTGTGAGGAAGCACATTTATACCATTATTATATTCGTAGTTGCTATGCATTTGCTTCTGGGCTGTTAATTTACACTAAAGTGGATAATTACTGAAGTTGCCTTTCTGCTTGACTTTGATTCCTAGCAGCTCAGATATTCAAGTACAATTACTGTGCTATAAGTTTTGAGATTTAGTTTTCTTTTCTGAAAATTGTCTTTGGAACTCTGTAAGTACTACAGCATTGTTGGTTTCCAGACAAGATGTTTGGTTAACCTTATTCCAAAAACTTAGCAACATATAGAAAATGTTTATTCTTCTGTGCTGTAAAGTTTTTATCAAATTATTTGAAGCAATTTGATGATGTTTAACTGGTAAGTGCTGTACCAAAAACCAGTTTCTCCACTTAAGGTAGAAGATTTCACTCATTAATGAGATTGTGCTGTACAAGTTTCTGTTCCCAAATCTGTACCACTGTTTATTCAAAATAGAAATAGTATATGCTGGTTAGGTTCCCAGGCTAAACCACAGAGATGTGTTCATAACCTCAGGTTGCTGACCTCTGATATTGAATGTACTGACTTGAAATTCTAGGACCTGGGAGCAATACAGTACAGGAGAGAGTAGGAGGAAAAGAAGAGCTTTCTCTTGTTTGCTAGCTGCTAATTTATGAACCCTAGGAAGTCTTTGGCTTTTCTAGAGTTGCCTGCAATTTTAAATTAAAAAATTTTAAACTTTATAAAACTGGAATTAGTGGAATTGTAACCAATGTAATTGGAGTAATTGGAGCCATGTTTAAACATTTAAGGGAGAGGTGTTTTTGCCATGGGCTCAGTTTCATTTTACAAATCCCTAAACTCAGTTTTATTTAGTTAATTGCTTAGTCCTTCTTTTCACACTTGAATACATATATCTTCTAAATACTACACTTGTATACAACTGACTACTTGCTGGTATAGGAGGACAGTGATCACAGTTTTGTGTTTTTGATCTTTTGCAGTTTGGGACTAGGACCTTTTTGTAAATGTATTTCTTGTTTCAGGGTGGAGGTGGGGTGTACAGAAAAATGTATATATTTTGTTTTTCCTGGAAAGATCTATTTATTGTTTTGTATGATTTAAATACTTTCTTTTTATTGTAGGTTTATGGTAAATATACCAGCTCTAGAACAGATGAACCAGATTTTACACATCTTGTTTATATTTTTACCCTTTTTCTGGGCACTCGGGACCCTACCCCCACCTGATGCACTTTTCTTATGGGCAGTGGAGCAGGTTTTAGAGTTTGGCCTTGGAGGCTCATCTATGTCAACTCACCTACGGTAATTATTTTCAGTATTAAAGTGATAGTGTAATTTATTCTCAAGGAACATTTTTTTTCTTTTCAAGCAGATCTTTTTTTTTTCCCCCCTCTGCAGGTTGTTAATAATGTTCATCATTTCTGCTGGAACAGCTGTAGCATCTTATTTCATTCCCAGCACTGTTGGTGTGGTTCTTTTCATGACTGGACTTGGGTTCTTACTGAGTCTTAACCTAAGTGAGATGGTTCTTGTCTTCAAACACAATGTGACCAGACACAGAGTTGGAACCAAATCTAATGCTTTATCCAGTGGTTCAGAAATCCGGTTTACTTGGAGGGACTACCTTTTCTACATTATTTTATTAGTCTTGGCCCTCTTAGAAACTGGTTTGTTGCATCACTTTGCTAGTTTCTCACAGATTTCCAAAAACAGTCCTCAGGCTGTTGTTGGCTATACTTTGATGATATTATTTATAATACTGTGGATACTTAAAGAAATTCAAAGTGTCTATATCTTTGGAATTTTCCGGAACCCTTTCTATCCAAAGGATGTGCAAACTGTGACTTTATTCCTAGAGAAGCAGACAAAGCTTACGAAGATTGGTGTTGTCAGACGGATTTTAATAAATCTAGGTAGGCAGATAAAACATAATAAACTTGCATTATATCTAGGAAATATACAAAAATATTACAAAATTCCTGTCATTTGTATAATGTTATATTGCTGTAGATGTTATGTTTTGGTTTGTTTGCTTATTCTTTCTTAATTGCTTGAATGTGCTCATAAAAATACAGGCCAAAATTAAATATGATAAAAGATTATTTTGCCTTCATTAAATTTATCTCTTTTTTGTCTTAGTGTCACCTTTTGCTATGATAGCATTTCTTTCATTGGACAGTTCCTTACAAAGGCTTCACTCTGTATCTGTCTCCATTGGATTCACAAGAGCTTTTAGAATGGTAATACTAATATGCACTTAATAGTATGTTCCTGTTCCCAAATTATGATTTTGTTTAGCAGCTTACTTAAATGATCAGATTCTGCCTAGTAATGGTTAATTTGTGTGCTGCAGGTGTGGCAGAATACAGAGACTGCTTTATTGGAGACAGTCATTGTAGCAGCAGTACACTTGCTGAGCTCCAGTGCAGACATGTGGTGGAGCAGAAGCCTGGACACAGGAATCAAACTCTTACTGGTGAATATGTTTTTTTAATATCTTGAATGAGATGTATTTCATATACCATAAAATCATTCACTTAAAGTCTGAAGTTCTGTCGTATATACTCATAACTTTGCAGCCATCACCACAATCTAATTTTAGATCATTTTCAACATCCCAGAAAGAAACCTCATACACATTAATAGTCATTTCCATTCCACTCTCCATCCATTCTACTACTCCAGCCCCAGAAACTATTAATCTACTTTCTGTCTCCAAGGACTTTCCAGTTCTGGACATTTCACATGATCAAAATTATCTAGTATGTTGTCTTTTGCATTTGGCAAAAGACACCAACAGTTGTCTTACTTTTTCATTATAGGATTTTCATGAATGTGAACTCTCTTTTTGTGATTTTAATAGTGCATTTCTCTGAATGCTAATGGTTTATCTTTATGTATATTTATTGGCCATTTATGTATGTTTTTGAAGGAAATGCCTATTCAAATTCTTTGCCCATTTTTACCCAGGTTATTTGCCTTTTTACTGTTAAGTTTAATAAGAGTTCTTCATATATTCTGCATAAGTTTCTTGACAGATATATGATCAGAAAAAATTTTCTCCCATCCCCTAGGTTTTCTTAAGCTTACTTGATAATGTCCTTTGAAGCAAAAAAGTTAATTTTTATGAAGTTCTATTTATTTATTTTGTTGCTTGTATTCTCTGGTGTCATATCTAATAAACACTGCTTTCAAGATCACAAAGATTTACTGTGTCTTCTAGTTCTTAACACTTGATTCTGTGATCTACTTGGAATTAATTTTTGTATATGTTATGAGGTAAATTTCCAAATCCATTCTTTTGTATATGGATGTACGGTGGTTTCAGTATCATTTATTCAAAAAGCTATTTTTCCCTTTTCTTGACACCTTGTCGAAAGTCAAGCAACAAATATAAGGGTTCATTTCTGGACACTCATTCTCTTTTCCATTCGTCTATATATCTGTCCTTATGCCAGTACAACACTGTCTTGATTACAATACTAGCTTTGTAGTAGTTTTAAAATTGGGAACTGTGAATCTTATGACTTTGTTGTTTTTTTTCAAGATTGTTTGACTATATTAATAATTCTTAAATGTTTATAGTATTCAGTTTGTATCTTAATATATTTTGTATTATGTAGTATTTTGTAGTATTGAAGCTATCAGCTTTTCTCTTTGGGAAGCTTTTAAATTACTAATTCAGTTTCTCTACTTGTTATATGTGTATTCAGATTTTCTGTTTCTTCTTGAATCAGTTTTGGTAATTTATGTCTTTTTCTTAGAAGTTGTCAGTTTCATATAAGTGACCTAATTTGTTGGCATGCAGTTTTTCATAATAGTCTTTTATAATTCTTTATGTTTTTTTCTGTAAGGTTGCTGGTAATGTTATCTGTTTCATTCCTGATTTTAGTAATTTACATCTTCTATGTATTTTTCTTGGTTAGTCTGGCTAAAGGTTTGTCAGTTTTGTTGATCTCAAAAAAAAAAAAAAAGCTTTTGGTTTCATTGATTTTATCTATTATTTTTCTATCCTCTATTTTATTAATTTCTACTCTAATCTTTATTATTTCTTTACCTCTGCTTACTTGAGATTTAGTTGCTCTTTGTTCTCTAGTTTCCTAAAATGGAAGATTAGGTTACTGGTTTAAGATACTTCTGTTCTTTTAATATATACAGTTGTAACTATAAATTTCTCTCTGAGGATTGTTTTTGCTGTGTCACAAGTTTTGATTTGTGTTTCATTCATCTGAAAATGTTTTCTTATTTATCTTGTGATTTTTTCCTTTGACCTGTTGGTTATTTAGGAATATGTCTTTTAATTTCCACATTTCATTCTGTTGTTGATTTAATTCAGTTTTGATTGAAGAACATACTTTTCATGATTGTATAAATATATTTAAAATGATTTCAGTCAGTTGAGATTTGTCTTATGGCATGATGTATAATTAAGATTAAGATTTCTTAATCTGTAAAGTATTCTCTAAAATAAGGATAAATTAAGTATAGTTGCTTAGCTATTACTTCTAGTTCTTATGACTTAACAAGCATGTAACGCAGAGCTTAATCAACCATAAGACATAGCACTCTGTCATTTCTCTTTAGTACTTCTTGTTTTTAAGAGAGCCTAAACTTTTAAAAACATAGTCTCATTTGCTAATTGTGAGAATCGAGAAAATTATAACAGAGAATCTTACATAAGGGCAATTTCCTCAAAAATCTTGGGGCAATGATAAAATTACATTGTTTTTCTTTTTTGATCTTGAAAATTCATGAAAAGTATTTAAGAATAAAAAAGTCATTTTTATGTCTCTCCAGGTTGGTATCATGCGTGATCGTCTCATTCAGTTCATCGCTAAATTGCAGTTTGCTGTGACTGTGCTTGTGGCATCATGGACAGAGAAAAAACGTAGAAAATCAACCACCACTTTGGGTGTACTCAACATTGTCTTCTCTCCATTCGTGTTGGTCGTCATAGTTTTTTCTACACTACTCTCTTCTCCCTTACTCCCCCTCTTTACCCTTCCTTTGTTCTTGGTGGGGTTTCCTCGACCTGTTCAGAGTTGGCCAGGAGTGGTGGGCACCACAGCCTGTGTGTGTGCAGATACAGTGTACTATTGCCAGATGGTCCCAGGTTTAATCACTGCGCTGCAGTCTGCAATGGCAGCTGGGAGTTTAGGTAAGTGAATGGGTTGTGTTTACAACATCCTCACTAATATATTTGAAGTATAGGAAAATGAACACACAGAAAAACAGTGTTTTGATCCAGCTATTATACAGATTCTAATACTTTGATGTGCAGGCAGACAGACTAAATATGAAGAAGTATATCTTCTTGTTTTGAGGTAAATAAAGTCGTAAAAATACTGAGTGAAAATTGCATTAACACCTTAATTTTGACAATTTTTAAGAAACATTTTCTTGACTCAAATTGGGTTATAGTCCCACCATGAAGCATGAAAACACCTTATTTTCCAAAATTTTCATGAATTTATGATGAGTTCTTGTCAGGTAGAAGTAACAGCTTAAGCCCATAGAGTGAAAACCAGTATTATATATCAAACTGAAGAACTTAAAGAAGTATGCTTGTGTCTTACTAGTTATTATCTACCAGCTTCAGCAATCTGACAAGGCTAGAGGCAAGGTAACATAAAAGCTTTGGTCTGTGATCCATAGCCTTCCAAAATGAAGTGCTGTATGAATATTAGCTAGATTTTTGATGAGAATGGACTAATATTATAGTCATAATTTTGTGATAGCTTTCTAATTTCATCATACATTATATAAGTTCAGCTATTTTATATTTCTAAAGGTTGGCTTTAGAGAAGGTACAAACTGATGACAATAGTTTGTTGTCTTCTGCTGTATACTTTAGCCCCATATTTGGTTTAGATATGGCCAGTGACTTCCTAGCACACTGACTCCACTGGCAGAGAATAGTGATTTAAAATTGGAATTTTAATGTTTATTTGGATTGAGTTTTTAAATTATCTATTAAGTGAGATAATTTAGTAAAAACTTTTTGTAATGCAGATTTTTCATGAGTAGTCATTTTCCTTTCTTATAGGAAATATTCTACACTTTTAATACTTTTATCCAGTTCCAATTAATTTTTATTATTTAGTGCAGTGCCACTTTTTAAAATACCTGTAAGGTTAAACTTACATCTGAAATAATAAATACCTTATTATCAACTCAGTTACATTCATCCAGTAAGTGTGTTTTAAGTATTTCTTGGAGAAAAAGCAAACAAACAACAGTGAGGTAACATTTCACACACATCTGATTGGCAAAATGTAAAAAAAAAGTCTGATATTAACAAGTGTTAGCTAGGGAATGGAAATAGGAACTCTCAAACCTTGCTGGAAGGGACTGTGTCAATTCATACAGTCACCTTGAAGAGTAAATTTAATAGTCTGTAGTAATGATGTACATATCTCATGACCTAAGGATTCCAGTTTTAGATTTTATGGTCCAGTGATTCCAGTTCTAGAGAAACTCTTGCATATGTGTTTTGGGGGTCCCAGGTTTGATGATTTTATAGGACACATAGGACTCAGCATACAGTTGTGCTCATAGCTAAGATTTAATATAGCAAAAGGATGCTAAACAAATATAGCAAAAGAAAATCACATGGGGTGAAAAGACTGGGTGAAAGCTTCCAGGCATGCTCTCCCAGGGGGGTTACACAGAACGTGTTTAATTTCCCAGCAACTTCTTGTGACAGTATGTGTGGTATGTTGACTACTGGAAGCTTATTTGAGACTCAGTGCCTAAACCTTATATTGAGGGCTGGTCATGTAGGCCCCTCTGCCTACCACATGCCAAAATTCCAGCCTCCCAAAAGGAAAGCAAGTATTCAGTATAAACTGTATTCTTTGCACAAACAGTTTAGGCCCAAAGAGAGACTGTTTATCAGTTAGGGTAGTGAAATACAAGTTTCCAGCCAAGGGCCAACTTTGTAAGCAGACATTTTATGGGATAGCAGTACAAACAGATTTGTACAAAGTAACTTATACAGCATTATTTATAATAGTGAAAAATTGGAAAACATGAAGTGTTTATTAATAGGGAAATGAACATTTAAATTTAGCTACATTCATACAGCCAGTCCATCTTAAAGGAGATCAGTCCTGGGTGTTCATTGGAAGGACTGATGCTGAAGCTGAAACTCCAGAACTTTGGCCACCTGATGCAAAGAGTTGACTCATTGGAAAAGACCATGATGCTGGGAGGGATTGGGGGCAGGAGGAGAAGGGGACGACAGATGATGAGATGGTTGGATGGCATCACCAACTTGGTGAACATGTGTTTGAGTAGACTCCGGGAGTTTGTGATGGACAGGGAGGCCTGTCGTGCTGCGATTCATGGGGTCACAGAGTCGGACACGACTGACTGAACTGAAGTGAACTGATACAATGAATTCTCAGTGCAGTTACAGTGAATGAGCTTTGTAGTCAATAAAATATCTCAGAGATATAACGTTAAGAGAAAAACTAAGTTTTAAGAGTATTTGTATTATAGTCTGGTAGGTAGCATTTTATGTAAGTTTTTAACAGCACAAATAATTTTTATAGGCATGTATATAAAAATGTCCAAAATATATTTGTTTCCCTAATATATTTAGCATGTATTTAGAATTTTATGTAAGAGGTTCTCATTTGTTGTTATGGAAAATATATTCTTAAATTCTTATTATCACCTATAGTTTTTTTTCCAACTATTCCTGTAAAAAGCTTAATTTCTCCTGATACGCAATGGATAGTCGTTTGTATTTTTGACATAAAAAGAGGGTAGAAAGAGTTATGAATTAGTTCCAAGTGTTTTATTGATTTTTTTAAGACTCACATGGCAAAATAAAATAAGCTTGAACAATTACTTACTTTTTTTTTCTAATTTGTTTTAGGTCTCCTCTTACCTGGGTCTCATTACTTGGGCCGTTTTCAGGATCGTTTAATATGGATAATGATTCTAGAATGTGGCTATACTTATTGCTGTGTTAACATTAAGGTCATTGTGCATTTGAAATCTCTCTTGTACAAGTTAAAATTTTGTTAAGCACACATCAGAGACTTAATAGCTCACTTTGAAAGAGTATCTTTTAATTACTTGTGAAAACACCTAGGATTTTTAAAGTATATTTCAATATGCACATATTGATAGACTAGTGTTGACTTTATGATAGAGCATAATAACAAAGTACACTTGCCCCTTTTTTATCTTTTTATCCTTATCTGGTTGAGCATCTCAAAAAGGTGACTGAGTAATATTTTCTTCACTCCTATATCATGTAAGCATTCTCAACTTAATAAAAACCTTCTTTTGACCCCACTTCCCTTACCTGTTAACACTCTTGTTTTTCTCCTTTCAGAGCAAAATGCTTTATTAGAATTGCTTATCATCATGTCTCCAATTTTCATTTCTCCCATTTTCTCTTCAACTTACCCTAGTTTTGACCCTTTCTATTATGCTACTGAAAAACCATTAATGTCAAGGTCTCCAATGACTGACGATTGCTTAATCCAATGATCAGTTCTTACACCTGGTCTTATTTGACCTGTCAGAAGCATTTGACACAGTTGATCTCTTCACTTATTTCACGGATTAATCCTTGAGAGTCTCCTCGTGTGGTTCCTTCTCTCTGCCTTAACCTCTTAATATCAGACTGGCCCAGTTCTTGCTGGCAACTTCATCCTTCTGGTAGCTCAGCTCAAAAACATTTGGGCTTTAGTCTAGTGATATTTGATTCCTTGTTTACTTCTATACCCCACATCCAATCCAGTAAGAAATCTTATTGGCTCTACCTTTGTCATCCTGTATCCCACCACTTCTCACCACCCTGCCCTCAGCCCCTATGGGTAACTGCAATTGCTTCCTAATTGGTCTCTGCTTCTACTTCTGATCCCACAACTAGCCTATTACTACCCAGAATGATCTTTAAAATCTAAGTCAGATCATGCCACTTCTCTACTCAAAATTCTACAGAGGATTTCTTCTTTTGTTCAGAGTAAAAGCCAAGGCCGTAAATGGTCAAGCTCCCAGTTTTCTGTTTTGTCTCATCTGCTGCTTTAACTGTCTCACTCCACTCCAGCATACTGGCTGTTCCTTCTGCTGGAACACCCTTCTTTTCAGGTAACCACACAGCTAACTCTCTCACCAGCTTTAAGGCTTTGCTCAAAATGTCACCTCAGTAAGGTCTACTATGACTATTCTATTTAAAATTGCATACCCACTCCCATCCTGACTGCACTTCCAATCCTCCTGGCTTGCTTTACTTTTTCTCTGTTTTTATAGCTCTTATACCTTCTAACAAACTATGTAATTTACTTATAATTTTATTGCTGATTACCTGTGTCCCCCCACTTTTCTAATATAAAAGTCACAAGAGCAAGGATCTTTGTTTTTATTTAGAGACTATAATCCTAAGCCCCTGGAACAGTGCCTGACACATAGTAGACCCTTACTAAGTATTTGTTGCATGAATAGTGAATGAATGAATTTTTTTGTCTTAGTGCAGGTTGGATAAAATTTTTATGATAAGAAAGCTGTTCCTTTAGTCCAGTGGTTCTCAAAATCCAGTTCTTCAGATTAGTAATTTTAACATCTCCTGGAAATTTATTAGAAATGAGATTTTGAGGCCTCAACCCAGACCTACTGAGTCAGAAACTCTGGGGCAGTGTCCAGCAGTCTGTTTTAACAAGGCTCCCAGTGTTTCTGACTCACCTAAAGTTTGAGAACTAGTGTTCTAGTCTAACATGTACAAGTAGAAGAAGGCAAAAAATCATGCAAAATATGAAGGATATTTTCATTGCTTAATTTAGTTCTATTTTTTAAATGGTATGGTTTTTAAATACCTAATAATGTAGGTCCTTTTATAATCTTTTGTGCTCCGTGTAACACTTTAAAAATTTGACAAATCACTTTCATTACTTATTTTAATCTTCACAGTCCTATATGCCAGGGCTATTTTTCTCTGAAAGAGAAGCAAAAGGAATCTTAGAGGGTTAGTGACCTACTCAGGATTGTGTACTAGGATCTGAGCAGAGCCATTATTTAAAAGCAGTTTCTAATGTCACATTCCATGTTCTTTCCCTGGATCACAGTACAACCTAACAGCATTGCCTTTTATTAAAAACACTGGTAGTTTTGAGAAAATGTATAAATAAGTAAGCAATAATTACAATAATAATAATAGTAAACAGCTGATGTATCCTTTTCAGGTGATTCATTTTAGGGAAGTAATCAAAATGTGTTTAAAATTTATATAGGAATATATTCAAAGTATTCATTCTTTCAGTATATATTTGTTGCATACCTACTGTGTGTCAGACACTGCTTTAGGCACTAAGGATATAGGAGTAACCGAAAGAGAGCTGATTGATGGAGTTTATATTGTAGTTGGAGGAGATAGAAAATAATCAAATACATAAACCTATATTATTATTTTTGTGTTATTATAATTTTTAAAAACTTGAACAGGATACTGGTTAAGTAAATTATGACATATTAGACATAGTAGACATAGTAGAATGACATAGTAGAATAATGCTAGTATATAAAGTAGAATGGAAAGGATAGAAAATTATGTGCATACTGTATATTTCCAATTTTACTCCTTCCCAAATTTTTATAATTTAAAAAAGTTTTTAATAAGTGATTTAATCTTGACCTACAGTCTTAAAATTATGATCATACTCATTAAAATTGTTTTGCCAATTTCTATTGGAATTTCTATAATGTCTTTAAAAATGCAGCATTATTTTTCATTTCCATATCCAACATAAAAATGTATCATTAAGATTTGCTCCCAGGTTAAATAATTTTTGTTTCATTTCACATATTTTTATTATGAGAATGCAATCCATGAACAGTTACAAAACTGGTTACTTTTCTTTTTGTAATAAGTGATCATAAGCTCAAGTACTTTTAATTTCCTCTTTAGGGGTTAGAATTGCAAGAGACATCCTGTCACACTGCTGAAGCTCGAAGAGTTGATGAAGTTTTTGAAAGTGCCTTTGAACAAGAAGAATATGTAAAATTATGTTCCATTAATGAACACTTTGGAAATGTTTTGACACCCTGTACTGTTTTGCCTGTGAAACTCTATTCTGATGCCAGGAATGTCCTGTCTGGCATAATTGATTCTCATGATAACTTAAAAGAATTTAAAGGTGATCTTGTTAAAGTACTTCTGTGGATACTTGTTCAGTACTGTTCTAGAAGGTCTGGCATGCTGGAGAATGCTCACAAAACTGAAAATAAAGGGAAATCATCTCTAATAATCCTGCCTGCTTTGAATACTGAACCACAAACTGAATCCCCAGAAGACGCAGACAGTTTAAATTCAGAAAATTTGGATGACTGGTCTGATGATGTTTTTGGTGAAGAGCCAACTATCAAAAAAGGAAAAGATGAAAAAGATCAGTTGAAAGTATTGCCAGGTATAAATTTGCCTATTCCTGGATCAGTAGAATCACAGAACATTGGTAGTCATTCCATAAACACAGTTACTGAAGAGAGTCTTTACCAAGCAGTTGCACTTGGATACCCTGCCACTGACAAAGGAGAACAAGAAGCCGTGGCATGCATCCCTCTCATGGAGTTCAGTTGTTCTCATTCTCACTTATTAAGCTTACCTGAAGAGTGGCTGTCTAACTGTTTACCTAATTCCAAAGTGAAAGAGATGAGTTCAGTATTTCCAGAAGACTGGTACCAGTTTATTTTAAGGCAGTTGGAATGTTTTCCTTCAAAAGAAAATGCCTCAAATGTGGAAGAAATTGCAAAGGACAGAGTTCTGAAAGACTTGTATGTTCATACAGTAATGACTTGTTACTTTAGTTTGTTTGGGGTAGACAATATGATTCCTAGTCCTGGTCATATATTGAGAGTTTACAGTGGTGTTTTGCCTTGGTCTCTTGCCTTGGATTGGCTCACAGAAAAACCAGACCTGTTCCAACTAGCCCTAAAAGCTTTCAGGTAATTTATTTTGATTACATACAGGTTTTAATATTGGCAGGAAAATGTTGATTTAAAAAAAAAAAACTTAGGAGATGCTCTTCCATTTTTAATTTTAAAAAATGATCACTTTCCTAAAATTGAAAAAATTCTTGGTATGTACTATGATTATATCTGGAATACACTTAAATTTGTACTTCTTTTTTTATGTGGAGTATCTATTTTATATGGCTTTCTGGATTTTTTTCTTTTAACCCTTATCATTTCTCTTTTTCTCTGAAATATGTATGATTTTAATTTAATGTCTTAAAAATATTGATCGAACTTAAAATTTATTGTTTCTCCATTTTTAAAGGTACACTCTGAAACTAATGATCGATAAAGCAAGTTTAGGTCCAGTAGAAGACTTTAAAGAGTTGATTAACTGCCTTGAAGAATATGAAAGTGACTGGTACATTGGTTTGGTATCTGATGAAAAGTGGAAGGAAGCAGTTTTACAAGAAAAACCATACTTGTTTTCTCTGGGATATGATCCTAATATGGTAAGATTAAAAATGTGTTCCTAAACATTTTTTTATATAAACCTTAAAGAATAGAAATCAGTTATAAAGTATTTAACCTCAGTAATAGAGATAACATTCTAGGTATAAATATATCAATTATATTGGGACTTCCCTGGTGGTCCAGTGGTTAAACCTGCATGCTTCCAATGCAGGCAACACAGGTTTGACTCTGGTTGGGGAACTAAAATCCCACATGCCACACAGTACAGCCAAAAATTTAAAAAGTAAATAATGAACAGCCTAGAAGAAAGGGCAGATTCTTAGAAAGGTACAGTCTCCCAAGACTGAACCAGAAATACAAACTATGAACTGAGATTGAAACTGTGATTTTAAAATGCCCAAGATACAAAAGTCCAAGACCGGATAGCTTCACAGGTAAATTCTGTCAAACATGTAGAGAAGAGGTCACACCTCTGCATCTGAAACTCTTCCAGAAAATTGCAGAGGAAAGAACACTGCTAAGCTCATTCTATGAAACCACCACCTGATACCAAAACCAGACAAAGATACCATAAAAGAAAACAGACCAGAATAAAAACTCTAGATTCCTGGTTGGTGACCTTGTCAATGCACTGGAAGGATAAGACACCCTGACTCCATAAGGATAGGGCTCGGAAGCTCTGCAGAACCTCCCAGACCTCACCCAGAAGTACAAGTGTCTTCAACAAGATTCTCCCTCTTCCAATGATTAATGACTAGGATACCTTAACAGGGAGGAACCTCCACAATAAAGAGGAACCACAAACTTCTAGCATACAGAAAGGCCACCCCAAACACAGCAACCTAAAGATGAAAAGGCAGAGAAATATTCAGCAGGTAAAGGAACATGATAAAATCCCACCAAACCAAATAAAAGAGGCAGAGATAGGGAGTCTAACTGAAAAAGAATTTCAGAATAATGATAGGAAAAATGATCCAAAATTTTGAAAACAAAATGGAGTTACAGATAAATAGTCTGGAGACAAGGATTGAGAAGATGCAAGAAAAGTTTAACAAGAACCTAGAAGAAATAAAAAATAGTTGATCAGTAATGAATAATACAGTAACTGAGATCAAAAGCACTCTGGAGGGAACCAACAGTAGAAAAACTGAGGCAGAAGATAGGATAGGTGAGGTGGAAGATAGAATGGTGGAAATAAATGAAGCAGAGAGGAAAAAAGAAAAAAAGAAGTGAGGACAACTTCAGAGACCTCTGGGACAATATTAAACACCCCAACATTCAAATCATAGGAATCCCAGAAGAAGAAGACAAAAAAGCCATGAGAAAATACTTGAGGAGAGAATAGTTGAAAATGTCCCTAAAATGGGGAAGGAAATAACCACCCAAGTCCAAGAAACCCAGAGAGTCCCAAACAGGATAAACCCAAGGCAGAACACCCCAAGACACATATTAATCAGATTAACGAAGATCAAACACAACAAATAATAAAAGCAGCAAGGGAAAAACAACAAATAACCCGCAAGGGGACCACCATAAGGATAACAGCTGATCGTTCAATAGAAACTCTTCAAGCCTGAAGGGAATGGCAGGACATACTTAAAGTGATGAAAGAGAAAAACCTACAACCCAGATTACTGTACCAAGCAAGGATATTATTCAAATATGAAGGAGAAATCAAAAGCTTTACAGACAAGCAAAAGCTCAGAGAATTCACCACCACCAAACCAGCTCTTCAACAAATGCTAACGATCTTCTCTAGACAGGAAACACAGAAAAGGTTTGTAAACTCGAAACCAAAACAACAAAGTAAATGACAGCAGGATCATACTTTCAATAATTACCTCAAATGTAAATGGGTTGAATGCCCCAATTAAAAGACAAAGTCTGGCTGAATGGATACAAAAACAAGACCCCTTATATATGCTGTCTACAAGAGACCTACCTCGAACCTAGGGATACATACAGACTGAAATGAAGGGCTGGAAAAAGACATCTCATGCAAATGGAGACCAAAAGAAAGCAGGAGAAGCAATACTCATATCAGATAAAATAGGCTTTGAAATAAAGGCCGTGAAAAGAGGCAAAGAAGGACACTACATAATGATCAAAAGATCAATCCCAGAAGAAGATATAACAATTATAAATATATATGCACCCAACATAGAGCACCGCAGTATGTAGGGCAAATGCTAACAAACATGAACAGGAAAATTAACAGTAACACAATAATAGTGGGAGACTTTAATACCACACTCACACCTATGAATAGATCAACTAAACAGAAAATTAGCAAGGAAACACAAACTTTAAATGATACAATGGACTGACCAGTTAGACCTAATTGATATCTATAGGACATTTCACCCTAAAACAATGAATTTCACCTTTTTTCCCAAGTGCACACGGAAACTTCTCCAGGATAGATCACATCCTGGGCCATAAATCTAGTCTTGGTAAATTCAAAAAAATTGAAACCATCTCATACATCTTTTCTGATCACAATGCAGTAAGATTAGATGTCAACTACAGGAAAAAGAAAACTATTAAAAATACAAACATATAGAGGCTAAACACACTTCTGAATAACCAACAAATCAAAGAAGAAATCAAAAAAGAAATCAAAATATGCATATAAATGAATGAAAATGTAAACACAACAACCCAAAACCTATGGGATTCAGTAAAAGCAGTGCTAAGGGGAACGTTCATAGCAGTACAAGCCCACCTCAAGAAACAGGCAAGCAATCAAATAGATAACCTAACTCTACACCTAAAGCAACTAGAAAAGGAAGAAATGAACAACCCCAGGGTTAGTAGAAGGAAAGAAATCACAAAAATTAGGGCAGAAATAAATGCAAAAGAAACAAAAGGGACCATAGCAAAAATCAACAAAGCTAAAAGCTTGTTCTTTGAGAAGATAAATAGACCGTTAGCCAGACTTGTCAAGAAACAAAGGGAGAAGAATCAAATTAACAAAATTAGAAATGAAAATAGAGAAATCACAACAGACAACACAAATACAAAGGATCATAAGAGACTACTATCAGCAACTATATGCCAATAAAATGGACAACTTGGAAGAAATGGACAAATTCTTAGAAAAGTATAACTTTCCAAAACTGAACCAGGAAGAAATAGAAAATCTTAACAGACCCATCACAAGCATGGAAATTGAAACAGTAATCAGAAATCTTCCAACAAACAAAAGCCCAGGACCAGATGACTTCACAGCTGAATTTTACCAAAAATTTAGAGAAGAGCTAACACATATCTTACTCAAACTCTTCCAGCAAATTGCAGAGGAATGTAAACTTCCAAACTCATTCTGTGAGGCCACCATCACCCTAATGCCAAAACCAGACAAAGATGCCACAAAGAAAGAAAAAACTACAGGCCAATATCACTGATGAACATAGATGCAAAAATCCTTAACAAAATTCTAGCAAACAGAATCCAACAGCATATTAAAAAGATCATACACCATGACCAAGTGGGCTTTATCCCAGGGATGCAAGGATTCTTCAATGTTCACAAATCAATCAATGTGATACACCACATTAACAAAAGATAAAAACCATATGATTATCTCAATAGATGCAGAAAAAGCCTTTGACAAAATTCAACATCCACTTATGATTTTAAAAAACCCTCCAGGAAGCAGGCATAGAAGGAACATACCTCAACATAATAGAAGCCATATATGATAAACCCACAGCAAATATTATCCTCAATGGTGAAAAATTGAAAGCATTTCCCCTAAAGTCAGGAGCAAGACAAGGATGCCCACTCTCACCACTATTATTCAACATAGTTGTGGAAGTTTTGGCCACAGCAATCAGAGAAGAAAAAGAAAAGGAAACCAGATTGGAAAAGAAGAAGGAAGAAGTAAAACTGTCACTGTTTGCAGATGACATGATCCTCTACATAGAAAACCCTAAAGACTCCACCAGAAAAGTACTAGAGCTAATCAATGAATACAGTAAAGTTGCAGGATATAAAATTAGCACACAGAAATCCCTTGCATTCCTATACACTAACTATGAGAAAACAGAGAAATTAAGGAAGCAATTCCATTCACCATTGCAATGAAAAGAATAAAATACTTAGGAATAAATCTATCTAAAGAAACAAAAGACCTATATATAGAAAACTATAAAACACTGATGAAAGAAATCAAAGATGACACAAATAGATGGAGAAACATACCATGTTCATGAATCAAAAGAATCAATATAGTGAAAATGAGTATACTGCCCAAAGCAATCTATAGATTCAATGCAATCCCTATAAAGCTGCCAACGGGATTTTTCAGAGAATTAGAACAAATAATTTCACAATTGCTATGGAATTACAAAAAACCTGAAATAGCCAAAGCATCTTGAGCATGAAGAATGGAACTGGAGGGATCAATCTGCCTGACTTCAGACTATTACTACAAAGCTGCAGTCATCAAGACAGTATAGTACTGGCACAAAGACAGAAACATAGATCAGTGGAACAAAATAGAAAGCCCAGAGATAAATCCATGCACCTATGGACACCTTATCTTTGACAAAGGAGATGAGAATATACAGTGGAGAAAAGACAATCTCTGTAACAAGTGCTGGGAAAACTGGTCAACCACTTGTAAAAGAATGAAACTAGAACACTTTCTAACACCATACACAAAAATAAAATGGATTAAAGATCTAAACGTAAGACCAGAAACTATAAAACTCCTAGAGGAAAACATAGGCAAAACACTCTCTGACATAAATCATAGCAGGATTCTATATGACCCACCTCCCAGAGTAATGGAAATAAAAGCAAAAATAAGTAAATGGAACCTAATTAAACTTAAAAACTTCTGCACAACAAAGGAAACTATAAGCAAGGTGAAAAGACAGCCTTCAGAATGGAAGAAAATAATAGCAAATGAAGCAACTGACAAGGAATTAATCTCAAAAATATACAAGCAACTCCTGTGGCTCAATTCCAGAAAAATAAGCGACCCAATCAAAAAATGGGCTGAAGAACTAAACAGATATTTCTCCAAAGGAGACATACAGATGGCTAACAAACACATGAAAACATGCTAAACATCAATCATTATCAGAGAAATGCAAATCAAAACCACAATGAGGTACCATCTCACGCCGGACAGAATGGCTGCTGTCAAAAAGTCTACAAACAATAAATGCTGCAGAGGGTGCAGAGAAAAAGAACCCTCTTACACTGTTGGTGGGAATGCAAACTAGTACAGCCACTATGGAGAACAGTGTGGAGATTCCTTAAAAAAATGGAAATAGAACTGCCATACGACCCAGAAATCCCACTGCTGGGCACACACGCCGAGGAAACCAGCATTGAAAGAGACCTATGTACCCCAATGTTCATCACAGCACTGTTTACAATAGCCAGGACATGGAAGCAACCTAGATGTCCATCAGCAGATGAATGGATAAGAAAGTTGTAGTACCAAAAAAGAAAACAGTACATATACACAATGGAATATTACTCAACTATTAAAAAGAATGCATTTGAATCAGTTCTAATGATGTGGATGAAACTGGCGCCTATTAAACAGAACAAACTAAGAAAGAAAAACACCAATACAGTATATTAACGCATATATGTGGAATTTAGAAAGATGGTAACGATGACCCTATATGCGAGATACAGATGTAAAGAACAGGCTGTTGGACTCTGTGGGAGAAGGCGAGGGTGGGATGATTTGAGAGACTAGCATTGAAACATGTATATTATTATATGTGAGATAGATCGCCAGTCCAGCTTCGATGCATGAGGCAGGGTGCTCAGGGCTGGTGCATTGGGATGACCCTCAGAGATGGGATGGGGAAGGAGGTGTGAGGGAGGGTCAGGATGGGGAACACAGGTACACCCATGGCTGATTCATGTGAATGTATGGCAAAAACCACCACAATATTGTAAAGTAATTAGCCTCCAAATAAATTAATTAAAAAAAACAGGCCAGTATCAATGATGAATATAGATGTACAATTTTTCATTGAAATATTAGCCCACTTATCCCAGCAATACATTTAGAAGATCATATACCATAATCAAGTGGGATTTTTCTGAGGAATGCAAGGATTCTTTAATATCCACAAAAAATAAATGTGATACACCACAGTAACAAATTAAAATATATGATCATCTCAATAAATGCAGAAAAGGCTTTTGAGAAAATTCACCATCCATTTATGATAAATAAAATACTTTCCAGAAGGTAGGGGTATAGAGGGAACATACCTCAACATAATAAAGGTCACATATTGACACCTACAGCTAACATTATACTCATGGTATCAAGGAACATGAAAAATGTTCAGTATTGCCAGTTATTAGAGAAACACAAAACTACGGTGAAATATCACCTCAAACCAGTCAAAATAGCTAATATAAAAAAAACCCCACAAACAATAAATGCTGGAGAGAGTGTGGAGAGTTCAAGGAACCCTCTTATACGGTTGGTGGGGAGGTAAATAGGTACAGCCACTATGGAGAGCAATACAAAATTTCCCTAAAAAGCTAAAAATAGTTACCATATGATCCAGCAGTCCCACTCCTGGACACATATCTGAAAGAAGACAAAAACTCTAATCAAGAAGATCCATGCACCCTAGTGTTCATAACAGCACTGTTTACCAGTAGCCAAGACATGGAAGCAACCTAAATATCCACTGACAGCTGAATGGGTAAAGATGTACACACACACACACACACACACACACAAATACTACTCAGCCATTAGTGGTTGCTTGTGACTGGGGGGATTAGGGATAGGAGGGTGATAGCTAAAGAGTACAGAGTTTCTTTTTGAGGTGCTGAAAATACCCCAAAATTGTGGAGATAGTTATACATATCTGAATATACTAAAAAGCCATTAAATTATTTGGAATATGAAATATACCTCAATAATTGGATGGTTGTTCACTGACTAGTATTTATGACTTACATTTTACTGAGGCCAGATGGAGTGAGGGAATAGAGAAAGAAAGAAGAAGTGAGTACAATGTCTGTCAGGAAATTTTTTTATTTCACGCTTAGTCGGAGAGCAACCAAATAGAAGTGATTCTTGATTTTGAAGACAAGCAACTCATGTACATTTTGATATATTACTTTCTGTTTAAGTTTGCTTAGCTACAGTGGAGTTTTTCTCTAAGTTTATAAATAAAGGCCTGAATATAATCTCTCTTCTTTTTCTTTCCCTCCAACCTCCTTTCTTCTTTACAGGGAGTTTACACTGGGAGAGTACTTACCCTTCAAGAATTATTGATCCATGTTGGGAAGTTAAATGCTGAAGCTGTTAGAGGTCAGTGGGCCAATCTTTCATGGGAATTGCTTTATGCCACAAACGATGATGAGGAACGTTATAGTATACAAGCTCATCCACTACTTTTAAGAAACCTTACAGTACAAGCAGCTGATCCTCCCCTGGGATATCCAATTTATTCTTCAAAACCTCTCCATATACATTTGGTGTAGAGGGCATTTTGACTTGTAAATGTATTGTGAGCAAATGAGATGTGTTTATTTTTTCATTCTAGAAAAGTTAACTTTGTGATTCCTTATAACTTCACTGGATTTACCTCTCTCCTTCCACAAGTCAGATGCCTGAGAAAAGCTAAGCTCTATAAAGTTGATTTTCTTAGATATCCTAATGGTATAAAACAACAACTTTATGTATAATATAAAAGTTAGAATTAGTTGGCCAATATTTGTGCCCTATGGATTGTGGTAGGCTTTGGTAAATATAAAACATTTGTATAAGATTATAAAATGAATTTTTTAATGCTTTCTTTAATGTGTGATAAGTGATTTGCCTTAGAGAAGTCAACAACTATGTAAATTTTACATGCTTAAAAGATATACATATCAATGTTTTTTAAGTAATAATAATGGATCCTACTGAAGGTTGCAAAATGCATATATATTTATTTGAAATATAATTAAATTTTATAGTATTTTCAAACTTTCTGCTGTTTATTTTAACATTTAACATCCTCTGAATGTTTTCATATAATCTATTCAGTTTCTTTTCATATACTTCAATTCAGAAAGCTTAAAAACTTTTAATAAAATCTCTTCCAAAATAAATTTTTTTTTCCCAGATAGCCTTTTGATATATTTAAAAGGAAAAGGGTTCATCCCATTCATCATGTGAATACTCAGCAGGATTAGCAACATTAAGGTAATCTGATTATGACTGTTAGAGTCCAGTCTGTAGATCTGGCTCATTGTGCATTTCTTTTCCACTGAATATACTGATTCTGAAGAATGACTTGCCCAATAGGACTACCAGTTACTATGGTCTTAAGTTGTTTGAACTCAAGCCAAAAAAGATAGGAAACAAATTTTCATAATGTGATCAGGGTTTTATTTTCATTCTTCTGCTGCTTAGGAACTTTTTACAGGAACTTATAAGGAGGATAAATAATGAATCTGCATCATTTGAGAGGAATTTTCTCCACACCTTACTTTGTTTTCATCTATGTTGTTGTTGTTCAGTCTCTTGGTTGTGTTCAACTCTTTGTGACCCCATGGACTGCAGCATAACAGGCTTCCCTGTCCTTTACAATCTCCCAGAGCTTGCTCAAACTCATGTCCATTGAGCTGGTGATGCCATCCAACCATCTCGTTCTGTCATCCCCTCTCCTCCTGCCTTCAGTCTTTCCCAGCATCAGGGTCTTTTCTCATGAGTCGGCTCTTCACATCAGGTGGCCAAAATATTGGAGCTTCAGCTTCAGCATCAGTCCTTCCAATGAATATTCAGGACTGATTTCCTTTAGGATGGACCGGTTGGATCTCCTTGCAGTCCAAGGGACTCTCAAGAGTCTTCTCCAGCTGCTGTGGCGGTGCGACCTGGGCAACAGCCGGTCTAACGATGGCTGCCATGTCGGCTCTGAAGCGACTATCGCCTTTCGCTCACATTGATGGCCACCTCTTAAGAGGCCGCTGCCCATGGGTGGCTGAACCCTGTGGCGTCCGTCGGGCTGGCGGAGGTGCACACATCGAGCCCCGGTACAGACAGTTCCCACAGCTGACCAGATCCCAGGTGATCCAGGCCGAGTTCTTCAGTGCAACCATGTGGTTCTGGATTCTCTGGCGCTTCTGACACGACTCAGATGCTGTGCTGGGTCACTTTCCTTATCCCGACCCTTCCCAGTGGCCAGATGAGGAATTGGGTATCCCTCCGGATGATGGAGACTGAAAACAGAGGCTCAGCTCTTGCCAGATGGGTGCACCCCATGTTTCTTGTTATGTTTTGCATTTGTCTGTAAATTTGACTTTGCACCTATGATGGTTCCGAAGAAACAGTGCATTTTATAATAGCATAAAGAATAACACATCAAAAAAAAAAAAAGCGTCTTCTCCAACACCACAGTTCAAAAGCATCAATTCTTTGGCACTCAGCCTTCTTTATGGTCCAACTCTGGAAAAACAATAGCTTTCACTATATGGATCTTTGTTGACAAAGTAATGGCTCTGCTTTTTAATATGCCATCATATTTTTAATGTTAGTCATAGCTTTTCTTCCAAGGAGCAAGCGTTTCTTAATTTCATGGCTGCAGTCACCATCTACAGTGATTTTGGAGCCCACAAAAATGAAGTCTCTCACTGTTTCAGTTGTTTCCCCATCTATTTGCCATGAAGTGGTGGGACTGGATGCCATGATCTTAGTTTTCTGAATGTTGAGTTTTAAGCCAACTTTTTCCCTGTCATCTTTCACCTTCATCAAGAGGATGTTTAGTTCCTTTTTGCTTTCTGCCATAAGAGTGGTGTCATCTGTATATCTGAGATTATTGATATTTCTCCTGGCAATCTAGTTTCCAGCTGTGCTTCATCCAGCCCAGCATTTTGCATGATGTACTCTGCATGTAAGTTGAATAAGCAGGGTGACAATATACAATCTTAATGTATTCCTTTCCCAATTTGGAACCAGTCCATTGTTCCCTGTCTGGATTCTAGCTCTTGATTCTTGACCTGTATACAGATTTCTCAGGATGCAAGTAAGGCAGTCTGGTATTCCCATCTCTTGCAGAATTTTCCACAGTTTGTTGAGATCCACACAGTCAAAGGCTTTAGCATAATCAAAGATGCAGATGTTTTTCTGAAATTCTCTTGCTTTTTCTATAATCCAGTGGATGTGGCAATTTGATCTCTGGTTCCTCTGCCATTTCTAAATCCAGCTTGAACATCAGGAAGTTCTTGGTTCATGTACTGTTGAAGCTTAGCTTGGAGAACTTTGAGCATTACTTTGCTAGTGTGTGAAATGAATGCAATTGTACAGGAGTTTGAACATTCTTTAGCATTGCCTTTCTTTGAGATTGGAATGAAAACTGACCTTTTCCAGTCCTGTGGCCGCTGCTGAGCTTTCCAAATTTGCTGGCATATTCAGTGCAGCACTTTCATAGTATCATCTTTTAGGATTTGAAATAGCTCAGCTGGAATTCCATCATCTCTACTAGCTTTGTTTGTAGTGATGCTTCCTAAGGCCCACTTGACTTTGCATTCCAGAATGTCTGGCTCTAGGTGACTGATCACACTATTGTGGTTATCTGGGTCATTAAGTTATCTTTTGCATAGTTCATCTGTGTATTCTTGCCACCTCTTCTTACTATCTTCTGCTTCTATTAGGTCCATACCGTTTCTGTCCTTTATTGTGCCTTTATTCTACCTTTATTATTTTCATCTATAGAACCCTTTATTTAGTCTGTAGTAGCCTCCTGGGTTGGTAGTACAATAATACATTCTCTATAGTAATGACTGAAATTATTTTAAATGTACCAATTAGGTTTTTATTACTATTATTCCTTTATTATGTGGAACAGTTCAGTACAGCAATGTTGAAGGATACTTTTTTGGACTAATTTCAGTTAATGAATTCACGAGATTTGTGTGTTAGTCATTTTGGGGGAAGCAATATAGTATAGTTATTAAAATGGGATTTGGTGTTACATCTGAGTTTGGATCTCAGGCTTATGATTTATGTAATTGAGATGTATTAGCTGGAAATATATATATATATACACACACATAGACAGAGAAGTTTGGCGGGCTACTTTCCATGGAGTCGCAAGAGTTGAACACGACTTAGTAACTAAACAGCAACAGTACATACATACACAGACACATATATATTATGTGTATATCTTTTTTGTCACCGACGGAAATTTTCTCATATCATTCAGTTCAGTTCAGTTCAGTCGCTCAGTCGTGTCCGACTCTTTGCGCGCTAATTATCCGTTTTAGTGATTATATAACTTTAATAGATATAAATAACAGAGTATTAGACTATCCCTCAAATAATGGGCATTTTAAGTTGTTTAAAGATTTACACTATTATAATAGTGCCATGCCATGCTTTCCCTTTGCCATGGATTCTTCTCAGACTGCCTCAATGTCTTGCCATTCATTCATGGCCAAGTTTTCTCATCTTCATTCACTTGTCAAAATGTTCCTGTTTGGATTCCATTTCTACTGTTGCCCCAAAATAAAGTTTTTATTAAAGTCATTATTTACTTGCATATTATCAAACCAACTACAGTTGACCCTTGAACAACGTAGATTTGAACTGTGCAGGTTCACTTGTACGTGGATTTTTTTCATTAGTAAATGCTAAGCTACTACGCGGTCTGAAATTGTTTCCATGGAAACATAGGGCCTACTATAGATTATATACAGATTAAAACCCCAGCGCTGTTCAAGGGTCCACTACAGTGACTTTTATATTCCTGTCTTATTTGGCAACCCACTCCAGTATTCTTGCCTGGAAAATCCCATGGACAGAGGATCCTGGTAGGCTACAGTCCATGGGGTCGCAAAGAGTCAGACACGACTGAGCAACTTCACTTTCTTAAGCAGCACTTGACACTTTTGACAACTGCTTGAGTCACCTTTTTTTTCTTTTGGACTTCCCTAATACCTACCACATGATCTTCATTTTCTTCTTGTCTCCCTAACTACTCCTCAGTTGCCTTTACCGCTTTTCCTTTTCTGCCTGACCTCTGAATTTTGGAATTTCTTAATAAGTGGTTCAGGCCACCTCTTCTTACTCTACATTTCATCATAGACAATCGCATTCACTCCCAAAACCTTACATATCATCAATAAATTAATGATGTTCAAATACATGTACTTAACCTCTCTTAGCACTGCACCTGTATATGTAACCATTTATCTCCATCTGATACAATCAAAATAGCTTGACCTTATTGAACTTGCCCTAAAACCAGCTTCTCTGACTTCCACTTTTAGTAGTACACATGTAATTCACATCAGACATCTCACAGAGAACTAGGGAAGCTGTGCAAAAGATTTTAAAATCTGTGTCAAAAACATCTCACAGAGAACTAGGGAAGCTGTGCAAAAGATTTTAAAATCTGTGTCAAAAGTATCAGTGAGTCAAGAAGACAGTGAAGGATTATATCACCAAGACCGAAGGCAGAATGAAACTTCGAGACCTGAGCTCAGCATTTGAGCTGCTTTTCTTCTAGGAACATTGGTCGATTCAGGAGGAGGTGGCTGGGAAGACAACTAACACTTTTGGCAGACTTCCTACTAAGTTAAAGTGTTAAAGATTGAGTCTAGGGCTCTCCAAAGAAGGAGGGTAAAAAAAAAATTGATCAATTTTGAATCTTTTCAATCTTTTCAAGGGGCTTCCCTGGTAACTCACCTGTTAAAGAATCTGCCTGCAATGCAGGAGACCCTGGTTCGATTCTGGATCGGGAAGATCTCCTAGAGAAGGAAATGGCAGCCCACTCCAGTATTCTCGCCTGGAAAATCCCAAAGTGGGATTTTCCAAGGCTCCCAAGAGGAGCCTGGTGGGCTGCAGTCCATGGGGTCGCAAAGAGTCAGACACAACTGAACAACTAAGCCCAAATCTTTTCAAAATTGGATTAAGGTGATCCTAGATTTGTAGTGTACCTAACTGCTACCCTGAGAAAATATTAATCTTCTCTGGACTTTTAAATTATTTTTATAATTTTTCATATTTATGTTGGAAAATCTAAAACACCTGAGGAGATAAGACAACATGATCAAAATCCAGGAAAAGCAAGACAATAGGAACAAACCCACAAGGGTTTATAATTAGAGGTTTGTACTCTGAATCCCCTTCACCTATTTTGCCCCCACCCATCAATCTCCTGTTTCTTGTCCATGGCTATGTGTCTGGTTTTTTTTTGTTTTGTTTTTTAGATTACACATTTAAGTGAGATTATGTGGTATTTTTCTTTGTCTGACACATTTCACTCAGCATAATACCCCTCTAGATCCATCCATGTTGTCTCAAGTGGCTAGATTTTTTTTTAATGGCTGAGTTATTGCATTGTATCAATATCTATATACCACATTTTCTTTATCCATCAATGGACACAGGTTGCTGCTGAAATTCTCCATCTTGTGTTTCAAAATCTTCAAATATACCAAACATAATTTCCCAGCCTGTGTCTAATCCCATTATCTGGGATCCCCTGTGGGCAAAATGAGCACTATCTTCTATGTACATAAATTTAAGTGTATCTAAACAGAATTGTGTTCTAGTTTATCATTTGCTTTCTTTACTCATCACTATGCTCTAGGATAGATAGGGAAACAGTGGAAACAGTGTCAGACTTTATTTTTTTGGGTTCCAAAATCACTGCAGATGGTGATTGCAGCCATGAAATTAAAAGACGCCTACTCCTTGGAAGGAAAGTTACGACCAACCTAGACCGCATATTAGAAAGCAGAGACATTACTGTGCCAACAAAGGAAGGTCCATCTAGTCAAGGCTATGGTTTTTCCAGTGGACACATATGGATGTGAGAGTTGGACTGTGAAGAGAGGTGAGCACCAAAGAATTGATGCTTTTGAACTGTGGTGTTGGAGAAGACTCCTAAGAGTCCCTTGGGCTGCAAGGACATCCAGCCAGTCCATCCTAAAGGAGATCAGTCCTGGGTATTCATTGGACTGATGCTGAAGCTGAAACTCCAGTACTTTGGCCTCTTGATGCAAAGAACTGACTCATTGGAAAAGACCCTGATGCTGGGAGGGATTGGGGGCAGGAGCAGAAGGGGACGACAGAGGATCAAATGGCTGGATGGCATCACCGACTTGATGGACATGAGTTTGGGTAAACTCCAGAAGGTGGTGATGGATAGGGAGGCCTGGCGTGCTGTGATTCATGGGGTCCCAAAGAGTCGGACACGACTGAGCAACTGAACTGAACTGATGCTCTAAGCTGTTGCCATGTGTGCATTTATTCCATTGCTTTTACTTGCTTTATGTTGTACCCCATGCTGTACCCCATGGTGTCACTCTACCCTTTACACCTTCCACATTTCCCAAGGGAAGCCACCAGGGTGGCCTCCAGCCTCTCCAACAACTATTCCAGTTAATTTTATGGGTACTAATCAAGATTGCCGAGAGAAATATCAATAACCTTAGATATGCAGATGACACCACCCTTATGACAGAAAGTGAAGAACTAAAGAGCCTCTTGATGAAAGTGAAAGAGAAGAGTGAAAAATTTGGCTTAAAGCTCAACATTCGGAAAACTAAGATCATGGCATCTGGTCCCATCACTTCATGGCAAATAGATGGGAAAACAATTGAAACAGTGACAGACTTTATTTTCTTGGGCTCCAAAATCACTGCAGATGGTGACTGCAGCCATGAAATTAAAAAACGCTTGCTCCTTGGAAGAAAAGCTATGACCAGCCTAGTGGTGGTGGTGGTGAAGTCGCTAAGTCGTGTCCTACTCTTGCAAACCCATGGATTGTAGCCTGCCAGGCTCCTCTGTCCTTGGGATTCTCCAGGCAAGAATATTGGAGTGGGCTGCTATTTCCTTCTCCAGGGGATCTTCCCATCCCAGGGATTGGGTCTCCTGCATTGCAGGCAGATTCTTTACCAACCTAGACAGCATATTAAAAAGCAGAGACATGGCCAGTGCACAGCTGCACGCACGCTGGTCTGTGGGCAGCATGGTGGTGGCGTCGAGTGGCGAGAGGGAGAAGGAGCGGCCAGGCGGTGGCTTAGGAGCTGCCGGCGGTAGCAGCACGCAAGAGCGGCTGCTGTCAGCGCTGGAAGATCAGGAGGTCTTGCCGAGAGAACTTACAGAAATGCTGGCAATTTCAAGAAACCAAAAGTTGCTACAGTCTGGAGAGGAGAACCAGGTCCTGGAGTTGTTAATTCACAGAGATGGGGAATTTCAGGAACTAATGAAATTGGCACTTAATCAGGGAAAAATCCATCATGAAATGCAAGTTTTAGAAAAAGTAGAAAAGAGAGACAGTGATATTCAGCAACTACAAAAACAGCTACAGGAAGCAGAACAGATACTGGCAACAGCTGTTTACCAAGCAAAAGAAAAACTCAAGTCAATAGAAAAAGCAAGAAAAGGTGCTATTTCTGAAGAAATAATTAAGTATGCACATAGGATTAGTGCAAGTAATGCTGTGTGTGCCCCACTGACCTGGGTCCCAGGGGACCCACGGAGACCATACCCAACTGATTTGGAGATGAGAAGTGGATTACTGGATCAGATGAACAATCCTTCCACTAATGGAGTAAATGGTCATCTCCCAGGGGACGCACTTGCAGTGGGCAGACTGCCAGATGTCCTTGCTCCACAGTATCCCTGGCAGTAAAATGACATGGCAATGAACATGTTGCCACCAAACCACAGTCATGACTTTCTGTTGGAACCTCCAGGGCACAACAAAGAAAACGAGGACTATGTAGAGGTTATGTCAACGGACTCCTCAAGCAGCGGCAGTGACTCTGATTAGAAACCATAAGACGAAAAGCATACAGAATTGAGTACTATAGAAATCTGTTTCTTAAATGGCGAATGTGGAAAGCTAACCAGGTGATGTTGGCTGTAGAAGAATTGTTCTGCCCATTAAAAATCATAGTGGATTTTTTTTTAAGCCAAAAATTAGGTGTCAGTTCTAAACCACTAGGTTAATACTTAAAGAAAAATCACACTTTACTGTTGTGGTAAAGCTTTTTCAGTTCAATGCTGTCTTACCTTGTTCTGTTCCAATTGTGTTGGACTTGTGCATAGTACTGAAAATAAGATTTGAGGAAAATGACCCATGTACATATCATTAGTAGGCCTCCTGCACTTATTTAGAAAAGCATAAACAAGAGCAGCGGGATCACTCAGTGTGCATTATATAACAGAAACCCTCATCTGAAAGTAAAGGCTATTACTTTTTGTCATAGGAAGAGGAGAAATCATCTCAATTTATACTCTTTGTAATTATTGTATTTTTTGTAAATAAACTTATTTTTGTTTGTAAAAAAATAAAATAAAAAATAAAAAGCAGAGACATTACTTTGCCAACAAAGGTCCAACTAGTCAAAGCTATGGTTTTTCCAGTAGTCATGTATGGATGTGAGAGTTGGACCGTAAAGAAACCTGGGTGCCGAAGAATTGATGCTTTTGAAGTGTGGTATTGGAGAAGACTCTTGAGAGTCCCTTGGACTGCAAGGCGATCCAACCAGTCCATCCTAAAGGAAATCAGTCCTGAATATTCATTGGAAAGACTGATGGCTCCAGTACTTTGGCCACCTGATGCGAAGAACTGACTCATTGGAAAAGACCCTGATGCTGGGAAAGATTGAAGGCAGGAGGAGAAGGCGTGACAGGATGAAATCGTTGGATGGCATCACCAACTTGATGGACATGAGTTTGAACAAGCTCCAGGAATTGGTGATGGACAGGAAAGCCTGGCATGCTGCAGTTTGTGGGGTCACAAAGAGTCAGACATGACTGAGTGACTGAACTGAAACCTTGTCTATAACTAAAATGTGAACCACTTACCAATGAGAACCATGTTTTTCTTCCCCTGTTCTCCCTTGATAGTAAATAGTCAAGGAACATTTGTTGGTTTTCTCTTGTAGCCTATGCATGTTTTCTACTGTAAGACACTAAAGGTTAAAGTAAAATTGACAATAATAACTAAAGTAAGAAGTCACCAATGGAATCTTCCTGAGCTGAGTTTAACCCAGGCTTTACCCATTACTAGCTCTGTGACCTTGGGAAAGTAACATCTACTTGCTTTGGGCATTTCTTTCTTCATCTACAAAGGTGGATAATACCACCTACCTTAGAGGGCTGTTATGAGGAATAAGTTAATTAACTAATTACAAACCACCTCAGTACAGCAAATGACATATAACAGGTTTTTAAAAATAATGGCTGCTATGAGTCCTACTTATGGCGTCAAATTCCAGTCACATGTACCTGTGAACTCTTCCAAGAGAATGTAAGCACCTTGGAGGCAGGACCTTTTCAGACACTTCTTTGTATCTGCCTGCTGTCCAGCACTCTGCTTCATGTAATAGCCCGTGCATTTATGGTAAATGGATTACTGTAATTCTTTGGTTAGCATTGTGCTAACCTAAATTTTAAGCATATATACTAGAGTACCTTACCCAGGAATGTAATAGGTATTAACATAATTATGGCAAGACTCCTGTCATTCTTGTTATTTATTACATATTGAAAAGAAAGTTATATCTATTAAGAAATAAAAGGACAAATTATTCTTCAATGTGTAAGAAGATCGCCGTTTTTTGCGTTTTCCATTTCTCTTTCCAGTGGCTTGAAAAATGCAAGTACTCCTTCAGTCATGTTTTTTTTTCACACTTCTAAAATAAGAGGAATCTGCATCCTATAACAATAAAAGAAACATGAATCAGTTTCTTCTACCCCAGTTTTTGACAATTAATTCCTTCTGTTTTGAGAAGCTAAATCATTATGATTCACTGTTGAGAATCCTTATAAATCCTTGGGAAAATACTTAAATAGGAATAAAAATCATAGCCAAAATTGTAGAGCTAAACAAAATAGCTCTAAGGAGCTTAGCAACATTATTTCCCTGTCATTTGTTAACATCTGAGTATGCCATTTCATAAATGCTGAAATTTCTGTTATTCTTCTGATCAGCATGTCTTACCTACACTGGCTTGCTTTAATAAATACAAAGAGTCTTTAGAATTAAAATACTTGAAAGATAACTCCAAAATCATTTGTGAACTTTTAGTATATTGCTTAAAGAGTAAAACAAGGCAATTCAGTAATTTCTAAGAGGTGACATTTCATTTGGGGAGATACCCACTTACCACTTTCAAGAATTTACACTAAATAAGACAAATCCAAATTATAACATAAAATTCAATGATGTTATTGTTTTTGATGCCTAAAATTAATAACAATACATCAAAACAAAGTTCCAGACATACTGTTCCTAGCCTAAAGAACAGAAACAAATTCTTGCCTAGAGAACCTCATGGACAGTATGAAAAGACAAAAAGACAGGACACCAGAAAATGGGCCCCCTAAGGTCAGAGGGTGTCCAATATGCTACTGAGGAAGAGCAAAGGGCAATTACTACTAGCTCCATAAAGAATTAAGTGGCTGGACTATGGAAAACAGTGTGGAGATTCCTTAAAAAAACTGGAAATAGAACTGCCATATGACCCAGCAATCCCACTCCTGGGCATACACACCGAGGAAACCAGAACTGAAAGAGACACGTGTACCCCAATGTTCATCGCAGCACTGTTTATAATAACCAGGACATGGAAGCAACCTAGATGTCCATCAGCAGACGAATGGATAAGAAAGCTATGGTACATATACACAGTGGAATATTGCTCAGCTATTAAAAAGAATACATTTGAATCAGTTCTAATGAGATGGATGAAACTGGAGCCCATTATACAGAGTGAAGTAAGCCAGAAAGATAAACACCAATACAGTATACTAATGCATATATATGGAATTTAGAAAGATGGTAATGATAACCCTATATACAGGACAGAAAAAGACACCAATATATAGAACAGACTTTTGGACTCTGTGGGAGAAGGCGAGGGTGGGATGATCTGAGAGAATAGCATTGAAACATGTATATTATCAATTGTGAAACAGATCGCCAGTCCAGGTTTGATGCATGAGACAAGTGCTCAGGGCTGGTGCACTGGGAAGACCCAGAGGGATGGGATGGGGAGGGAGGAGGGAGGAGGGGTTCAGGATGAGGAACACATGTAAATCCATGGCTGATTCATGTCAATGTATGGCAAAAACCACTACAACATTGTAAAGTAATAAGCCTCCAACTAATAAAAATAAAGGAAAAAAAAAAGAAGTGGCTGGGCCAAAGCGGAAACAACATTCAGTTGTGGATGTGTCTGGTGGTGAAAGTAAAGTCTAATGCTGTAAAGAACAATATTGCATAGGAACCTGGAATGTTAGATCCATGAATCAAGGTAAATTGAATGTGGTCAAGTAGGAGATAAATGACAGAATGATCTTGGTTCATTTGGCGATGCCAAAGAATATTCAAACTACTGTACAACTGTGCTCATTTCATGTGCCAGCAAGGGTATGCTGAAAATCCTTCAAGCTAGGCTTCAGCAGTACACAAACCAAGAACTTCCAGATGTACAAGCTGGGTTTCCAAGAGGCAGAGGAACCAGAGGTCAAATTGCCAACATTTTTTGGATCACTCAGAAAGCAAGGGAATTCCAGAAAAAACATCTATTTCTGCTTCACTGACTACACTAAAGCCTTTGTGTGGATCACAGCAAACTGCAGAAAATTCTTTAAGAGACCACCTTACCTGTCTCCTGAGAAACCTGAATATGGGTCAAGAAGAAACAGTTAGAACTAGATGTTGAACAATTGGCTCCAAATTGGGAAAGGAGTACAACACGGCTATATATTGTCACCCTGCTTATTTAACATCTATGCAAAGTACATCTTGCAAAATGCTGGGATGGATGAATCACCAGCTGAAATCAAGACTGCTGGGAGAAATATCAACAACCTCAGATATGCAGATGATACCACTCTAATGGCAGAAAATAAAAAGGAACTAAAGAGCCTCTTGGTAAAGGTGAAAGAGAAGAGTGAAGAAGCTGGCTTAAAACTCAACATTCAAAGAACTAAGATCATGGGATCTGGTTCCATCACTTCATGGCAAATAGAAGGGGAAAAAGTGGAAGCACTGACAGAGTTTCTTTTCTTGGGCTCCAAAATCACTGTGGATAGTGACTGCAGTCATGCAATTAAGAGACTTGCTCCTTGGAAGGAAAGCTATGACGAACCTAGACGATGTATTAAAAAGCAGAGACATCACTTTGCCAACAAAGGTCTGCATAATCAAAGTCATAGTTTTTCCAGTAGTCATGTATGGATTTGAGAGGTGGATCATGAAGAAGGCTGAGCACCAAAGAATTGATGCTTTCAAATTGTGCTGGAGAGGACTTTCAAGAGTCCTGTGGACTGCAAGGAGATCAATCCAATTAATCCTAAAGGAAAGCAACCCTTAATATTCATTGGGAGGACTGATGTTAAGGCTGCAGCTCCAATACTTTGGCCACCTGATGAGAAGAGCTGACTCACTGGGAAAGACCCTGATGCTGGGAAATATTGAAGGCAAAAGGAAAAGGGGGCAACAGATGATGAGATGGTTAGAGAGCACCACCGACTCAATGAACATGGATATGAGCAAACTCCAGGAGACAGTGAAGAGCTTGGGGTGCTATAATCCATGAGATTGTAGAGTCAGACACAACTTAGTGACTGAATAACAACAACAACATTTAGTTTGGGAATAATAGTGGCATTCTCTTAACTGAGATTCTTACAAACAAATTTCAATAAGGAGATGAATATACACAATACAAAATAACAGGGAGGAAAGAGCAATGAGGAGAGAAGTTAAAAAAAATGAACAACTTCTTAAAGTTTCTAGGGTTTTGTGTAAAGAATAAGATATATCTCAAAATGATTTGGGGAAATGAAAGAATGCCTAGTTTATCATAAAATGATAAAGCAGTCAGACCACCTAATAAGCAATAATTCAAATATGTTGGTAGGAAGAGAGAAGTCATGATTTTTAGCAAATGTTAGATGTAATGCAATGCCTATATTTACACTGCTGTTGTTTAGTTGCTAAGTCGTGTCCAACATTTTTGCTACCCCATGGTGTATAGCACATCAGGCTCCCCTGTCCCTGGGATTTCCCAGGCAAGGATACTGGAGTGGGTTGCCGTTCCCTTCTCCAGGGGATCTTCCTGACCCAGGTATTGAACTTGCATCTCCCGAGTTGGCAGGTGGATTCTTTACTGAGGCACTAGGGAAGCCCAAGATTTATGTTAAGTATTCTGTTGATATTCTGTAAACAAAACAAACTAACCTTCTTATGAACAACTGCTATAATGGGACTGAAACTCTAGCCTCTAGTCTTTCCCCTCTGAAACAGTGATTTCTATAATGCATTCTCCCTCTGCCATATTATTTAATTCTTTAATCTTTACTGTCTGTTTGCTAAATATCCTCCAGCCATCAAAACAAAAGCAGTAACAGCTAATACTTAATGACTGTAACACACCATGGTATGTTTTAAGAGCGTTCCACATACTAACTCATTTAATCCCCATAACAATCCTATGACTAGGTGCTACTATCAACAGTAATCTTCATTTTGTAGATGGTTTGGTTCAGTTCAGTTCACTCAGTTGTGTCCAACTCTTCACAACCCCATGGACTGCAGCACACCAGGCTTCCCTGTCTATCACCAATTCCCGGAGCTTGCTCAAACTCAGGTCCATCAAGTCGGTGATGCCATCCAACCATCTCATCCTCTGTCATCCCCTTCTCCTCCTGCCTTCAATCTTTCCCAGCATCAGGGTCTTTTCCAATGAGTCGGTTCTTCTTATCAGGTGGCCAAAGTATTGTAGATGGGGAGGTTGAAATATAGAGAAATAACTTGCCTGGGGTTGTAGGATGAGTATGAGGTACAGCTAGGATTTGAGCCTAGGTAGCCCAGCACCTTGTTCCATGCTTTTAACCAGAATGTTGGTTCACCTCTTTAGTAAGGCCAACTTACTTTCCCCCTCAACTCTTATCTATCACTGGGCACAATGCCACTTTATCTGCTGTCCTCTAAATTTCAGACTCTGATGCAATATTTGATGAAGCTCTACCTTTAGAACCACCCCCACAGTACCAAGTTCCAACATTATGAAATTACTTATAAATGTTTTGACCCAAACAAACTGGTTAGTATAAAATGAATAGCCCTCTTCGTGATTTCTCAAGTTCTAAACATGTTAGTGCATATTGAAAGTTTTAGAACCTTTAAGTCTCTTTAGGTATTTTGTTTGGTATTTCGTTTTTTGTTTCATTTTTCACCAGTTCATTTAACATTCCTCACTTTTCTGGAAAAATGAGTGCTGAAAGAATAAGTTATCAGCAAGTTTTCCTAAACATGGACATAGGCACATTTCAGATGTGCAAACCAACCTTCTGGAACAAAGTCAAAGGAACCAGTACTACAGGTGAGTGCTTTGACAGAGGGCTGACGTGCACCTAGTCCTGGGGAGAAATGGGATGGGAGGCCAGGTATCAACCCAAGGAGGTGACACAGAATGTAGAGACTCGTAGGATGGGTTGGAGTTTGTGGGGAGACATGGGGGAGAAAAAGCATTTTGGCACATACACTGGCCAAAGAGCAACGTAGAAGAAAAAAATGGCAATCTCTGATTTGATTTTTACCTTGTAGAAAACTTTCTCCAAGACCAGTAGTAATTTACAGTAAACCGACAGATATGCATTGGGGATGGGAAACTTTTTATATCTTTTGTATTTATTAATATATCATGAGATTGGCAGACAGTAAGAAAAGTTTTTAAGCATTGGAAAATTTCATGCTTTCTTACAAGACTGATATGAATTCAGAAATGTATAAATTGGACTTACCACACCACTCTTGAAGTTCTCAATCCTTCTCTTTGCTGCTTTGTTGGTTAACCACCAGGCCAAGGTTGGCATATATTGCCACAAATAGAACATTAGCAAAAAAGGGTGATCAGCAATCCAAACTTCCTTCAAATCATTGGCCATGGTGACTAACATCAGCCGCACACAACGACTGGTTGCCATCTTGTAGGACTCATCTGCAGTGCTGCCTGTAGTCTAAGAAAATTTTGAAAAATTCATGAGTGATGACTATTTATCTAGGGTATCTCACAGAACTTTTAGTAGACATCCAGTTGAGTGATTCCTTTACTGTGGCCTCATGCCCCTCAGGAGTCCACATAGGCACTAAGGGGTGCCTGTAAGCTATTTGTGGGCTTCCCAGGAGGCACAGGGCTCTCCTGCCATTGAAAGAGATGTGGGTTTGATCCCTAGGTCTGGAAGATGCCCTGAAGGAGGAAATGACAACCCACTTCAGTAATCTTGCCTGGAAAATTCCATGAACAGAGGAGCCTAGTGAGCTGCAGTCCATGGGGTCGCAGAGTCAGACCTGATTAAACATGCACACATAAGCTATATATTTCAGAAAACCTAATAGAACTCATATACTTAACCAGATAAGTGTGCCGGCTAACTAAAAGATAACAGTTATTCACTTTTAGTTAGAATTGTACCATCTTAAAGAACTTAATGATAAGTCTATGTCATTTTAATAATTTTAAACAAATTATTAATACATACATTTAGCAAATGAAGTTCTATAAAACATGGAGTCCATGAGGATGAAATAGAGAAAGAAGATAAAAGTGGTTTCTTGATATTGAAAAAATTTGGAACTACTACTCTAGTTAACCCATTACTGTTTTACAAATAAACTGAAGCCCAGAAAGGCAGTAACTTTTATCTGTGCTCACACAGACCATTTGGTAGTAACCAGTTCTATATTCCAGGTCCCCTGATTCCTGTAACATTGTGCTTATTCTATTTTACTATAGTGCCTCCATAGAAAATGCAAAATATAAATTGTATAGATAAACATTTACATGGATACATATAGATTTATATCTCAGTAGAAATATTAGTGAAGAAGGAAAATTTCATGGTCTTTAGAGAGTTTTTTGTATTATGGAGTGATACTGGATTCTTCATGAGACATTTATTGTTCATTTGATAGATTAATTACGTGTAATCTATGAGCTGAGGAAAGCACAAGCCTGGGTGAGGTCAACCTAAAACTACTACATCTCAACAAGGGGGGTTTTGCTAAGTTCCTTCACCATAATCCCTTTTAAAATCCCAGTAAGATTTAATTTACTAAAATTCAGCCACACAGAACTTTCAACATTACTATGATTCGTGAATTGATTAAAACTGGGTTTTTAAAATATTGATAGCCCACATAATAGTGGATCACTTATAAGCAGTATCTTAGTAATTTCTTTAGCTGTTACTAAAGCTGGATGCCAAAGCACTATCAGCTAACCGTAACAACTTTCCTAATGCTGAGTTAAGTTATGTAAATAATTCATAAGGGATTCTAACATGAAAACCCTGAGGCATAGTGATGTAAGGCCAGGGTATGACTACTAAAGCATTCAAATTATTCACCAACTAGAAATTTTACCTTTGTGACTTCTTCAGTTAGGGCATTTTTCACAATATTTGATTGCACAGGTCCCGGGCAAATGTTAGAAATTGTTATACCTGGGTAGGTGATAAGTTCAGATCGGAGGGTATTAAAAAATCCCTAAAAGACAAAAACAAAAAACAAATAAATACAGACACATATATCATGTTTACTAATAGTACAAAATTACTTTTCTTCAACTTTTTATGAAGGACAATAGCAGCACATTATCAAAATGTGTTCTGAAAAATGCCCGAGTAAAGAACAGGGAATGTAATTACACAAGATGAGGCATTTTTAAAGATAAGACCGCAGGCAATCTAGAACAGGCATTCGTAACTCTTTTCGGGTATGAGTGGTTCATCCCCCTGATGGCACTGGTTTAGCTTGTGCCATCAGTGATTTTGCACTGAATAAGTGAGAGACTACCCTTTAAGAGTCTGATACCCAGTTGCCAGCTCCCCACTCCAAAAGGGTTGCATGTTCACTGAGCATCATTGAGGCTGGACTTCTTTCGATGATCCCTAAAATTGGCCTAAAGTACAGATGATAGGGCAACAGGAAGCAAGTTGGAATTAGTACTTAAGGGAAACTATCATAGAGGAACAGTTCCATTTTTTCAGTTACTATCTGAAGAGACTATTAGTTTCAGCAAAAATTTTTATTTTAGGTGTAGTAAGAGAGTACATGGCTAGTTAAAAATGTAATATGATTGCTTACTCAATGACTTTTGTAAAAACAAGGTAGACCCTCCAAACTTAAAAGATACTGCCCATTTCTGAACCAAATAGGAAGTAAACATCTACTTCTCCTCATCTCTTCTCCTAAATCAGGAAATATTCCAGGACTACATTGTGATAGACTGAGTTAACTTTGAAAAGCCTAAGCAGCCAACATAGGTACATTCATTTATGATCCAATAACATTAAACAGTTACCAGCCTTTAATGCTGATGCCTAACAAACACAAGGCCTTTGAAGGTTTGTGCTGTCCGAGACTAATACAGTGTCTGACTCAAATGGACAGGAAAAAAGGCTTTGTAAATGAATGAATGAACTTTAACCTTCTGCCCCTCTATAGCAAAAGAGGGGAGTGGACACCATGAAAGCCAATACTCCAGACACTAAAACTCCTCCTTGCTTGAAATCACATCTAGTATAGTGTGTGAACTTTTCAACAAGTAAGTTCACTCTCTAGCTTGCTGAGTATCAGGGAAGGAAATGTGCCCTTCAAAAAGAGACTCCTGGTTTCAGTGTTCGGCTACTGGTATAACTAGATCTTAACTTGACACATGGTATCAGACAATCAAATCCAGTACAAAACAGTTTGGAGGGCAGGCCAGACAGCTTCTACTGTGTTTGATTGAAAGCATCCTGCATGTCTTCTGGGATACTGGGTACCAAACAGATGGGGTGGCCACCTTCCCTCGTGTGCCTGCCTGAGAGTTGCCCAACTGCCCTGCTGGAAGTAACTGACACCCTATTACCAAATATGAGGAAATCATCAGTGCAGTATTTCATTTCATCACTCTCTGCAATTGTCTGCTCTTCACAGCAGAAAGAGGATCCTATGGAACCAAAGCTTCAAATTTTCATGAGACTGATGACCATTCAACTGCTGCATCTTATTATTCCAACAGTGAAACATTCTATGTAAACTGACCTTCAACAGCATTAATTATATATCACATGTCTCTATTAATCATTTTCCTCCTATTGGCCTTACAACTTAATTTGCTCCATGTTATGGTGTATATAGTTACAGTTTCTTCTTATCCATTCTTAAGCCAACATTAAAAATTTATTCATTTCTAGTACTCATATTTCATAAGTTACACAAGCCAAATTAAACTTTCTCCTAGACTCTGCCTCAACTAGATTTTCTTCTTCTAATGAAGTCATAGTAAACAGAGTCAAGGCTAGACCCAGTAGGGATTTGACGCTCAGGGCTAATTCACCCAGTGGGAAGTTTCTATTTCTGATAGGCATGTACATTTAGAAATTCAGGTAAAATAAACACCAACAACAAAGGGGAAGGAAACAAAGTCACAGAAATGAGGGCAAGTAAATGCATGTAGAATCCTGAAATGTGTGTAGAAGAAACAGGGGTAGACCCCAAATTTGCCATGAAGATGCGGTTGAAATAAGGACAAGGTAAAGGGTGACATGTCAACTAGACTATACAGTTTGTAAGGGCAGGGATCACATAATCTTTATATTCCCAGGATATGTTGCAGTGTATGACACAGTGTAGGTACTCATTGGATGTTTGCAGAATTAGGAAGAGGCATGTGAGGCTCAAGTCTTTTTAGCATCTTCTGGGTAAGTCTTCTACTCAAGATCTTCTTGGGTCTCTCTGTCTCCAAACATCACTACCTAGTCCCAGTGATCTCGTACAATAAATGTTCCATACACACATTCAGGTCAGTTCTATCAGAGGTGAGTTTTAACAGCCTTACGCGAAGAGCATGTTTGCTGGCACAGTATCCAGTAGAAAGGGGTGCAGCTATAATTCCCACAATGCTATTCACAGTAACAATTTTTCCTTGCTTCCTCTCAATCATGTGAGGCAGAACACACTTTGTCAAGGACACCGTCCCTAAGTAGTTAAGCTCTATTAGCTCCTTGAAGACATCCAGGCTGGTGTCCACACACAAAGCACGCTGGGATACTCCACCATTGTTGACCAGAATGTCGATCTAAGTAAAGAAAATCAGAAAGGGGGTACTTTAGGGATGACTTAGATGGATTGTTGGAATTCCTAGGGATGGTTAGTTAATATTGTTAACTTGATAAATCAGTGGAACAGGACAGTATATTTCCAGAGGTCAGCAACAGAAAAGGTAAAAGCAAAATTCACCTATGAAATTAAATTCCCACCTTAAGTGGCTTTTTATGGAAAATAATGTAACAGAAATAATAGGCACAGTGAATCTTTAGCTTCTTTTGTTCTACATGGAGGAGTTAATTTATTAAGGTAGGAAAAGTTCCAATTATTAATACATAAAGCCACAGATTCAGAGATTAAGAGACCCGGCTGGGCCCTTGAGCTGAAGTGAGATGCTTCATGAACCCATTAGCCTATAGCCCTTTGAATGATAGCACCACAGATAGGAATCTCTTTTGCAGCTACTTCAAAGCAAGATTCATGCACTCAAAATGCTACTTACTCTGCCAAACTCCTGGAGAACTGCTTTGGTAGCCATTTCATGGGAACTTCTGTTAGTCAGGTCAAGGGGCAAAATGAGTATATCTTTTTCTTTCAAATTACCATTCTCTAAATAAAGACACTTAAAATTAATATGGCAGTCATGTGCTAATCACATTACATTTAACATTCACCCTACAACCACACTTAGCAATGAACTCATTTCTGGGTGAAGCCCTGTGGATGAGGTTCTCTTTAAGGACCAAGAAGCGGATTGACAGGGATATGGGCAACATCTTATCGAACAAAAAGCTGGCTGGGTACACAGGAAACAGAATTCCTCTCTTCTACGTAAATATATACAGCCTAACATTGGACCAGGCTTCCCTGACAGCTCAGTTGGTATTTCTGTACATCTGTTACAGGATAGGTCACTGCTTGATTTTTAAACACAATTTTTAAAAATTTATGCTGAAAATCAATGAGAATTTGGGTCTTCCAGTCACGTGACACAGAAAAGCTTCCTTTCAGAGGCTAAGGATTCCAGGAGGTGAATAAGGAAAAGGACACAATCCTGAAATTCCCAACCAAGAAACACATTGGGCTGTAACGGCCCTCTCTATTTCTGTTATCAAAAGAACAGTTCAAACTAATTTCCTTGAATTCTAGCCCCGAAATACAACAAAGTTGTGTTTTGATAAGAAAAACAAGTAAGTAGAGAAGAGGTGAAATTGCTTTATGGGCACAGGATTAAATTATGAAATATTAACTTTTTAAAAAGCAATAGAAAAGTCTGCACCCATGATATGACAGATAAAAGGAAAATAATCTTACTCAAGCTAAGAAACACTGTTATGGTTCATTTCTTCCCATGCAAGTCTCAACAGCAGAGGAGCAACTGTCAAAAAAAGTGGCCCAGTGCAAAAACACAAGAGGCCTTTAAGAGCAATATCATGAAAGAGGGCTTGTGGCCTTAGCAGCTAACTCCATATCTGGGTGATTAGTTCCATCACCAAAGTGAAAGAAAGATTTGTAAAGAATGACAAGTAGATGACAAAAAAAAAACAAAACAACAACAACAATCTTCTGGAAAATTCAAAATTATTTCAGTATAGATATTAAATTTCCTATGAGAAATAATAACTGTATTATTTGAGACTGCTTTTACTGTGAACTACACCAAAACCCAAACAGATAAACAAAAACACCATTGTCCTGTATATATGAAAAATATTATATCAAGTTGTACTTCTCAAACTTAATTCTACTCTGGGATTTCCCTGGTGGTCCAGGGGTTAAGATTCCACACTTCCACTGCAGGAGCACTGGTTCAATCCCTGGTCAGGGAACTAAGATCCCACATGCTGCATAGCACGGCCGGAAAAAAAATTTAATTCCACTCCTGTTTTTTTGTCCTTTACAACAAAAATCTTATATTATTTCATATGACTTTAAAATCGGATATTTTAACAAAATATCAATTAAATTTCTATGGTAACGTATATGTATGTCATTCATAAGAACCAAATTGTTCCTTGTCTAAGATAAAAATGTAAGACATTTATGTGGTCACTAAAAATCCAAACCAGCATTTGAGAGAATTGATGATCAATCCCTAATGCTAAGAATTAGTGTAAAAAAAAAAAAAAGAAGGTAGAAAGGTGGCAGAAAAAGAAAAAAAGGTCAGGCCAGCTACTAAGAAGTGACAAAAGGAAAAGAAGTTGGATCAAAGCACTCAGCATTTGGAACCAGAGTCTACTGCCCACGAAAATCCCCCACTTCCCCCTAAAATTCCCAAGTTTTGACTCTGGGCTCTGATTTACTTCTAGGAAGCACTACTGCAATTTCAGATTTACTCACCAAGGCACTTTCTTTTCACCCTTTCCAATTCATGTACTCTTCTGGCTGACAGCACGAGAGAAACTCCTAGTTTGGACAGCTGGTAAGCCAGTTCCTCTCCAATCCCACTGGATGCTCCAGTCACCCACACCACCATATCAGTCAGCTCCCATTCTATTGAAAAGCAGGTCGGGATTGAGGGAGAAAATAAGCTATGGGTTACATCCATAAATCAAAGATTGACCAAAGGAAAAAAATAGTTTTAAACAATATCATTGAATATGAAGACATAATGTGTGGAACTTAAAATTTTAAGTATACTATGTTTACAGCCCTGATTGTGGTGATGATCTCACAGGTGTATACTTACCCCAGACTCATCCAGTTGTGTGCACTAAATATGGACGGTTTCTTATATGACAATCATACCTCAATAAAGTGGTTTAAAATTTTTTTAATTAAATATCTTAAGGAAACACTTCCTACCTAGTGTTAGAAATCATATTAGTAACAGTTTATTACTAACTGTATTATTTTGTGTATTCTAGACTCTTTGAGAGTTTTCTAGACTTTACTTCAAGGTAAGCCTTACAACTCCATGGTCTGACTCTAAGGCTCTATTTATCTGAATATTTGATCATGAAAAGTAAGGGTAAGTAGATAGAAGGTACCTGGACTCATTTTCTCACCTTCCTTATTCATAAATGAGGGCTTCAGAGAAGATAATCACTAATAGTTCCATCCAGTTTTCTATTCCATTATTCTAATTTCTCACATTGGTGGTATTGATGATAAATCTGAGTATACCAAGTTCTACTCTATGGTATGGTAGAATCATCCTGAATTTTTAAAGTCATGTTTGCCCCACTTGTCAATCATAATCTGATGCCAGCACCTAAAGGTCATTTCATAAAAGAGCTTTCCAAATGCCTGAGCCTTCATCTTAGAAGAATCTAGTAGTTCACCCAAGATGAAATACATATGAGAGCGAGATGAAATGTTATACTCTGCTTGCCAGGTATCACCTTGTTAAATATTGTAAAAATGTAAAATAAAGCACTGACAAGTGGTTTATTCTCCAACGAAAAACTTCCTTGTACTGCAGCACACAATAGCCACTGTCCATCTGAATCCATCAAGTCAGGGTAGTGCAATGCTCCTGTGTACCTTATTAAAATGTGTTATTTGTCAAAAATCAGGAACAAGGTATTATTTAAGATACACATTGCTGATTTTGGATCAGAAAAGTTAAAATCAGGAAGCCAGTTTATTATTTTAGTCAAACAATTCTGAAGTGTAAGTGTTGGTGAATCAGTATGTGCTCTGGTTGCACTTTAGCTCCCAGGGTTCAAGTACCAGCTGTGTCACACACAGCTGTGAAATGCTCCCACATGGAAACTCAGTGCCTTCATTTCCCAAAAGTGGAAAATTGAATTAATAATAAAACCTCCTTCATAGAATTGTTGAGAGAGATGAGTTAAAACATGTAAAGCGCTCAGAACAGTGACTGACACACGTGTGGGCGTGTGAACTAAGTCGCTTCAGTCATGTCCAACTCTGCCATCCATGGACTGTAGCCCGCCAGGCTCCTCTGTCTGTGGGATTTTCAAGATAAGAATACTGGGATGGGTTGCCATGCCCTCCTCCAGGGGACTCAGTGCTTAATAAAATGTCAACTCTAATTGTTGCAAAATTGTTTAATAAAATGGATTTTGGCAGCAAAACACTGAATGTTCTAATTTCTCCAGCCAGGGGAAATGGGATTACTAACTTCAACGGCTTAACATTTTTCCATTGCTTCCTATGTGCTTAAACATATTACCTTATTAAAATCTTCACAAGAACGTTATGAAACAGGAATGATCTCAGTTTTAAAAGAAAGGAAACTGAGGTTTACAGAGATTAATTTACACCACTAGACTGTAAATTTCCTTGAAGCTGGGACCCTGTCTCCTTTATTCATCACTATGTCCTCAGAGCCTGGCACAGAAGCTCACTTAGAGAAAGGACTCCACAAGTCACTGTTGAATAAACACCCAAGAATCCTGGCAGAGCTAGGATATTTGTTGAGGTATGTCTGACCTCTAGCCTAAGCTGCCACATTTTAATATGATCAATATTGTAGACCCAACTATCTTAGCCATTCGAGAAAATATATTCAGGAAAGCGATTTCATGTAAATATCTAAACAAAGGACAGAAACATCCCAAGTACTATGTCTGGGTTACAGTGCTTTCCTATCACCTATTGCACTATGTTTTTTGGCTTCCGAGATTTCAGTTCCCTGACCAGAAATTGAACCCAGGTCACGGCAGTCAAAACTCCAAGTCCTAACCACTAGACCACCAGGGAACTCCTAAATCTAATGCACTTTTATGGAAAGGCTCAACTGAGCAACCTTGCAAATTTTGGGGGAAATTGTTGTTCAGTAGCTAAGTTATCTCTGACTCTTTGCAACCCCATGGACTGCAGCACACCAAGTGTCCCTGTCCGTCACTATCTCACTGAGTTTGCTCAAACTCATGTCCATTGAGTCAGTGATGCCATCCAACCATCTCATCCTCTGTCACCCCCTCTCCTCTTGCTGTCAATCTTTCCCAGCTTCAGGGTCTTTTCCAATGAGTTGGCTCTTTGCATCAGGTGGCCAAAAATATTGGAACTTCAACATCAGTCTTTCCAGTGACTATTCAGGGTTGATTTTCTTCAGGATTGACTTGTTTGATCTCCTACTCATTGTTCCAAAGTTCTGCAGTATACAAGACTCCAAGGTGAATATAATTTGTAACTGTTTACTAGCTAGCGTAGCAGTAACAAGGATTTCATTTTTGCATGCACGCATGCATGCTCAGTCACTTCAGTCATGTCTGACTCTTTGTGACTCTATGGACCACAGCCCACCAGGCTCCTCTGTCTATGGGATTCTCCAGGCAAGAATACTGGAGTGAGTTGCCATGCCCTCCTTCACAGAATCTTCCCGACCGAGGGACTGAACCTGAGTCTACCACACTTCAGGCAGACTCTATCCACTGAACCATCTGGGAAGCCCTCTTCATTTGTATACCAGTATGCAAATATTAATAAAACAATGAAAACTATCAGGCTCACATTTACCTTAGTACATCTGCAGTTCTGATACCCTTCCTCCCACTCTGGAGAAGAAAACTTTTTAACTTAGCACCAATTATTTACAATTCTACAGGAACTTCCCTGGCAGTCCAGGGGTTCAGACTTCACCTTCCAATGCAGAGGGGTGTGGATTTGATCCCTGGTCAGGAAGCAATGTTCCCACATGCCTCCGGGCCAGAAAAAAAAACAAAAAAATAAAGCAATATTTGCAACAAAATCGATAAAGACTTTAAAAAATAATAAAATAAATAAATAAAATGTCAAAAAAAAATCAATTCAACAGAATCTGGCATACATCGTGGCCTCCCCTAAAGAGTCTCTGAAAGCAGATTCTCAGAGTTGAAAGGAAACTTAGAGTTCAACCCCCAACCCAGGTTAAAAATTCTCCCCTCAAGCTGTTGACCATTTAATTCCCTCACAGGATGAGTATCTAGTTACCTCTGAGGCACCAGCTCATTTGGGAGGGGTAAGTCTGATCATTCAAGATGGGTTTCCCGGGTGGCTCAGGGTAAAGAATCCACCTGTGATGCAGAAGACACAGGAGACCCATGTTCTATCCCTGGGTTGGGGAGATCCCCTGGAGGAGGGTATGACCACCCACTCCAGCATTCTTGCCTGGAAAATCCCACGGACAGAGGAGCCTGGCGGGCTACAGTCCATGGGGTCACAGAGTCAGGCATGACTGAAGCGACTGAGCGCTGAGCACGGCCATGCAGGGCTTAGGAATTTTCTTATACGGATACCTTTAACTTCTACAGACCAGCAGCAGCTGGCGGCAGGTCTGCCTTGTGGTGTCAGGAAGGATAAATCAGGCCTGTCTGGCACACGACAGTGTCTCATCTGTCTGAAGACGGCTGCTGTGTCCTCTCTAAGTCCTTCCGTCTCTTGTTTCTCTAAGGCTAAATAAACGCCCCCAATTTCTGCTGCTTGCCCTCAGATGACATGGCATCTGGTTTCCTCACCCTTCTCCTCACACCCTCTGTACAAGCTCCAACTGGCCAATGTTCCATTGAAAGGAGCTGGCCAGGGCAGGATACAGGATTCCCAGGGGTCTAAACAGCTCCAAATGGTGTGATTTGACTAAACCACTTCCCATGTCTTTCAGACGGGACATGCCATGAAGACCCAGACAGTGGCTGGCTCAGTCACTGCTGCGTCCCCAGTGCCCAGCACAGAGGCCAACACAAGCAGGTATTCAGAAAACATCTTTTGTTGTTTGCAGTCTGTTACATAAGGCATGAAACAGCTCCACAAGGTTGCCTAATCTTTTCTGGCACTGCACAGCTGACTCTCACTGAGGTCACTGTCAAATAAGAGCTGTTTTCCTCACATATGTTCTGCTGTTGAGAGTTTTCCTACTCTGGACTGGTGCCATGGATTTTTCTGGATCTATGTGCAGTACCTAAAATTAGTCACTCTGTAATTTTACCATGTGAGATACATGCTTAGAGACACAGGAGGTATCGCTAGATGGATACATAAAATGCAGGAAATGGTGGTTGCCTCCAAAGAGGCACACTGGCGAGACAGAGCTTAACTTGTCACCATGTATCCTTTTATATTTTTAAAAGTTGCCTTATGTGAGTATATTGTCAACTTTTTAAAGTGACACTTCATGGCAAATAGATTATTTTCTTGGGCTCCAAAATCACTGTGGACGGTGACTACAGCCATGAAATTAAGATGTTTGCTCCTTGGAAGAAAGACTATGACAAACCTAGACAGCATATTAAAAAGAAGAGACATTACTTTGCCAGTTGAGATCCATAGAGTCAAAGCTATGGTTTTCCCAGTAGTCACGATTGGGTGTGAGAGTTGGACCATAAAGAAGGCTGAGTGCTATAGAATTAATGTTTTCGAACTGTGGTGCTGCAGAAGACTCTTGAGAGTCCCTTGGACTGCAAAGAGACCAAACCAGTCAATCCTACAGGATATCAACCCTGAATATTCATTGGAAGAACTGATGCTGAGGCTGAAGCTCCAATACTTTGGCCACCTGATGCGAAGAGCTGATTCATTGGAAAAGACCTTGATGCTGGGAAAGATTGAGGGCAAGAGGAGAAGGGGGTGACAGAAGATGAGATGGTTGGATGACATCACTGATTCAATGGACATGAATTTAAGCAAACCCAGGGAAACAGTGAAAGGCAGGGAAGCCTAGCGTGCTGCAGTCCAGGGGTTGTAGAGAGTTGGACATGACTTTGCAGCTGAACAACAACAACATAAAGATGAAAAAAAGGATAATTTTTTTTAAACCTTAATAGAGTCTGCCCATCTTTCCAATTTGAGCTGTTTTTGGAACTTGAATCTATCTTCATGTTCCTTTAAGTCTTTTTCACTATCGCCCTCACCTCCCTTCCAACTCTCTCACTCCCTAATCCTCCCCTGCCAAGTCTTTTTAGTCATTTTTCCTAATAACGTCCCTATAACAATTTCACAAATATACTGCATATCTGTTTATGTATCTTCATATATCTTCGTGCCAAGTCATTTCAGTCATGTCCAACTCTGCGACCCTATGGACCGTAGCCTGCCAGGCTCCTTTGTCCATGGGATTCTCCAGGCAAGAATATTGGAGTGGGTTGCCATACCATCCTCCAACGGATCTTGCCCATCCAGGGATAGAACCTGCATCTCTTGTATCTCTTGCATTGACAGGCAGGTTCTTTACCATTAGTGCCACCTGGGAAGCCCTTACATATATGTATCTATGCTTTAGATATAAAAGGAGTTCTATAAAGTTTATTCTTCAGTAAGTGCAGGTTTAAGCATGGTGAAATTGAAAAGTTAAAAGTTAAATTAAAATTTAAAAGCTATTAACATTTAACTTTACAACTGTAAATTTACAAAAGTTATTTTGCTGAATAACATGTATTTACATAAATTGCAATGTATCATATGACATTTGTAAATCAGCAAATTATATAACTACATGATGATAATAATAACAAAGTAATTAAATGTGTTTAAAAATCCTTCAAAACTGATATTTTTCCAGCAAAATTAAAACACTGAAAAAACCAAACTTCTTAAAAGTTATCTTTAGTCACCTTAACTTTTGCTTGATATGTGAAAATAACTTTTCATTTCACTAGCAGCTAAATATTGTCAACGTTTTTCCTCTTCAGCACTTGACATTATCAGTTGAGTAACTTGTAGAACAGTAAAATATAAACTATTTTTATGTAATTCTCAAAGTCCAAGTTAACACTAAGCACAAATAGAATCAAACACTGAAGTCCACAAAGCAGCTAATAGGCACATGCATTCCATCTGCTGAGATGGGCTAATGACCAAGAGAAAGTCTGCCAATCACAGCCATCTATTTGCCATAGTTATGTAACCCTGATCTTGCACATGTTTTACGCATTTTCCGTGAACTCAATGTAAGTGCTACACATGCTATACCCACCCCCCTCCCAAAAAAGAAGCAAGAAAAATGAAATACTAAGGAATAATACTTTGTCAGTTAGGGTTGAGCTTTGGAGGGGCATAAAATATTGTACCATCTAAGATTTTTTTTCAGTCCCCAAGAACCAATTTTCACCCCCATGTAAGTGATCGGGCTCCACTTCTCTCTCTGGCTCCATTTTTAAAGTTATCACTTCCAGGGCTTCTCTGGTGGCTCAGACAGTAAAGAATCTGCCTGCAGTGTAGATCAGGAGTTTGATCCCGGGGTTGGGAAGATACTCTGGAGAAGGGAAGGGCAACCCACTCCAGGATTCTTGCCTGGAGAATTCCATGGGCAGAGGAGCCTGACAGACTATAGTCCATGAGGTCCCAAAGAGTTGGAAGCGACTGAGCAACTAACAATTTCACTTTTTCACTTAATCACTTCCAAGTAAACCTCCTCACATGATTTAGAAATTTTCATGCAGGAAACTAGGTCCAGGGAAACCCCACTTCCCGCCTGCCCTTGTAGACATAAAGCCTAGCTCTGGACAGCCCACTGAACTTCTCTGAGCATTATGAAAATAAGACTAATAATGCCTACTTTATAACAGTCATTGTAAAGGTGAACAGTCACAAATGAAATGCGTCTGGTGCACTGCTTAGCACATAGAATGCGTTTAGTAAACGGCCATCAAATATTAAGCTGGGCATAGAAAAAAGACGGGCAGAATGTCTTTTAGTATGCCAATAATGGTCTTCCTTCAGGCAAAACACCCAATCCAGTTCTCTACCTTTATCCCAATGGGTAGGCAGCTTTGTAGGTGGCTGTATTATCTCAAATTCTGTTTCATTGCTCTTATGTAGAGTGAGAGATGGCATATAAACAACTTCAGGAAGTAGCTCCAAAAGGACATGCTTTTACAAGCGCACTGTTTCTCCAAGTACTGTCCTCCCACGCTGCTTCAGCATCCCTGGGAGCCAGGCGGAGAACTCAGAGACCTGAAGGCGCCCCGCCGATTCCAAGGCTCTTTTACTTCAGCAAGTAAAAGGCAAAGTCCGTAGGGACCGGGGCAGAAGACAAAAGGCGCCGGCCCCTTCCACCCCGAACCAGAGCCCTTGAGAAAGGCGCAGCCTCGCCGCCCGGAAGCTCCACGCCACCCGGAGGGGCAGCGGAAATCCGATCGCACCACGGAACCCGGGCTCCCAGTGCAGAGAGGTGGCAGCGCGTCCTCACCTGGGCGTCGCCCCTGCCACTCGGCCCACAGCAGGGTCAGGTCCGCGTCGGCCCGCACGAAGCGCAGCAGCTGCACCACTAGCGCCAGCAGCGCGCACAGCGCCAGCAACCAGAGGAGCAGCCCCCAGCTCATCGCGCCCTGCTCCGCGGGAGGAAGATAGACTGACCGCCGCCACCTAAACTGCGCCAAGGCCGCCTGGCAGCTAGCACGCGTCCGCGCCGCCGCCCTCCCCGCGGCCCCGGCCCGCCCAGAGAGCCGGCAGGAGGGAGGAGCCGCAAGGCGCGCCCCAACCCTCCCGCTGGGAGCCCGCCCAGGTTCTGCCGGCGACGGGCGCGAGGCGCCCAGCCCAGAGATCGCTGCCCAGGTTTTGTCCGCCTGGGCGCCCAGTAAGGGGTTGCAGTGGGAACAAACGGCGTAGGTCACTTAAGCACTTGGAGATATTCCTGTTCGTAAGATAGTAAAAGCATTTGTAATCTCAAGACCGATTCTTTTACAGTTGTTTTGAGATGCAAATAGTTTTCGAAGCTCAAGAATAGTACAAATATTCCAGCCTATGAATTCGGCCTCTTCCTCTCCCTTCTTATCTTTCTTTAACTACATGGACCTAACAGCTCATCCGTTTTGGTTTTTTGTCCACCCCGCGCTAATGCCACTCCCTCACCAAATTAACCCAGTATATGAGTAGGATTGGCCCTGTGTCCACCTACATTTGGAAAGCACCTTGCAAGTGATTCTAGTGTGATTGTTGAATGGCAAAGTGCAGCTTGGGCAAACTTGCCCTTGAGCTTAGTGCCAGGAGCATTTTCTGAGGACTTCAGCCAGCTCCAACTCGGCTGGAGTCCAGGTAGCTCAGCCCTCGGTGACCCTAATTTTTTTCCTTATCTGTAACCACGAAGAATATAAAATTTAAATGAAAAAACAAAAAAAGCCTGTGAAGGGCACAGTGGCTCATACGCAGTAATAATATTTGTTCTTTCTCTTGTAGTTCTTAGAATTAGTTTAGTTCATAAAGACATTTCTCCAAAGAAGACATACAGATGGCTAACAAACACATGAAAAGATGGTCAACATCACTCATTATTTGAGAAATGCAAATCAAAACCACAATGAGGTACCATTTCACGCCAGTCAGAACGGCTGCTATCCAAAAGTCTACAAGCAATAAGTGCTGGAGAGGGTGTGAAGAAAAGGGAACCCTCTTACACTGCTGGTGGGAATGCAAACTAGTACAGCCACTATGGAGAACAGTGTGGAGATTCCTTTAAAAACTGGAAATAGAACTGCCATATGACCCAGCAATCCCACTCCTGGGCATACACACCGAGGAAACCAGAACTGAAAGAGACACGTGCACCCCAATGTTCATCGCAGCACTGTTTATAATAGCCAGGACATGGAAGCAACCTAGATGCCCATCAGCAGACGAATGGATAAGAAAGCTGTGGTACATATACACAATGGAATATTACTCAGCTATTAAAAAGAATATGTTTGAATCTAATGAGGTGGATGAAACTGGAGCCCATTATACAGAGTGAAGTGAGCCAGAAAGAAAAACACCAGTACAGTATACTAACACATATATATGGAATTTAGAAGGATGGTAATGATAACCCTATATGCAAGATAGAAAAAGAGACACAGATGTATTGAATAGACTTTTGGACTCTGTGGGAGAAGGCGAGGCTGGGATGATCTGAGAGAATAGCATTTCACAATATCAATTGTGAAACAGATTGCCAGTCCAGGTTTGATGCATGAGACAAGTGCTCAGGGCTGGTGCACTGGGAAGACCCAGAGGGATGGGATGGGGAGGGAGGTGGGAGGGGGGCTCAGGATGGGGAACATATGTAAATCCATGGCTGATTCATATCAATGTATGGCAAAAAACCACTACAATATTGTAAAGTAATTAGCCTCCAACTAATATAAATAAATGAAAAAAAATTTAAAAAATTAATTAATTCAGTTAAGTTCGCTCAGTTGTGTCTCTTTGCAGCCCCATGAACTGCCACACGCCAGGCCTCCCTGTCCATCTCCAACTCCCAGAGCCCACCCAAACCCATGTCCATTGAGTTGGTGATGCCATCCAACCATCTCATCCTCTGTCATCCCCTTCTCCTCCTGCCCCCAATCCTTCCCAGAATCAGGGTCTTTTCTAATGAGTCAGCTCTTTGCATCAGGTGGCCAAAGTACTGGAGTTTCAGCTTCAACATCAGTCCTTCCAATGAACACCCAGGACTGATTTCCTATAGGATGGACTGGTTGGATCTCCTTGCAGTCCAAGAGACTCTCAAGAGTCTTCTCCAACACCACAGTTCAAAAGCATCAATTCTTCAGCACTCAGCTTTCTTTATAGTCCAACTCTCACGTCCATACATGACTACTGGAAAAACCATAGCCTTGACTAGACACACCTTTGCTGACAAAGCAATGTCTCTGCTTTTTAATATGCTGTCTAGGTTGGTCATAACTTTCCTTCCAAGGAGAAGCATCTTTTAATTTCACAACTACAATCACCATCTGAAGTGATTTTAGAGCCCAGAAAAATAAAGTCAGACACTGTTTCCTATTTATTATTTCTATTATAAATATCATTTTGAGAGAGTCAATTCTTAGGTAGGTTGTTAAGAAGTCTAGGGCTCCGAGGAGGAGAAAGGGGTTTGGGGCTCTTGAGGAGGAGAAAAAGACAAATATTTTTTCTACATTGCTTTCTTTTAGTCACATAAAACATTTTTTTTTCTTTTAAGCCCAGAGCTAACGATTACACAACAAAACAACTCATTTTAAACTCTGTTCAATTCAGTTCAGTTGTTCAGCTGTCTGACTCTTTGCGACCCCATGCACTGCAGCACGCCAGGCTTCTATGTCCATCACCAACTCCCAGAGCTTGCTCAAGCTCATGTCCATCAAGTTGGTGATGCCATCCAACCATCTCATCCTCTGTCATCCCCCTCTTCTTCTGCCTTCAGTCCTCCCCAGAATCAGGGTCTTTTCCAATGAGTCAGTTCTTTGCATGAAGAGGCCAAAGTATTGGAGTTTCAGCTTCCGCATCAGTCCTTCCAATGATTATTCAGGACTGATTTCCTATAGGATGGACTGGTTGGATCTCCTTGCTGTCCAAGGGACTATCAAGAGTCTTCTCAACACCACAGTTCAAAAGCATCAGTTCTTTGGCTCTCAGATTTCTTTATGGTCCAGCTCTCACATCCATACATGACTACTGGGGAAACCATAGCTTTAACTAGATGGACCTTTGTCGGCAAAGTAATGTCTCTGTTTTTTAATATGCTGTCTAGGTTGGTCATAGCTTTTCTTCCAAGGAGCAAGCCTCTTTTAATTTCATGGCTGCAGTCACCATCTACAGTGATTTTGGAGCCCAAAAAAATAAAATCTCATTGTTTCCATTGTTTCCCTTATCTATTTGTCATGAACTGATGGGACCAGATGCTATGATCTTAGTTTTCTGAATGTTGAGCTTAAGCCAACTTTTTCACTCTCCTCTTTCACTTTCATCAAGAGGTTCTTTAATTCTTCTTTGCTTTCTGCCGTAAGTGTGGTGTCATCTGCATATCTAAGGTTATTGATATTTCTCCCAGCAATCTTGATTCCAGTTTGTGCTTCTTCCAGCCTGGCATTTCGCATGATGTAATCTGCATATAAGTTAAAAAAGCAGGGTGACAATATACAGCCTTGATGTACTCCTTTCCTGATTTGGAACCAGTCTGTTGTTCTATGTCCAGTTCTAACTGTTGCTTCTTGACCTGCATACAGATTTCTCAGGAGGCAGGTCTGGTGGTCTGGTATTCCCGTCTCTTTCAGAATTTTCCACAGTTTGTTGTGATCCACACAATCAAAGCCTTTAGCATAGTCAATAAAGCAGAACTAGACATTTTTCTGGAACTCTCTTGCTTTTTCTGTGATCCAATGGATGATCCAATGGATCTCCTGATTGACCACTTCCAATTTACCTTGATTTATGGACCTAACATTCCAGGTTCCTATGCAACACTGTTCTTTACAGCATCTTACTTTGCCTCCATCACCAGGCACATCCACAACTGGGTGTTGTTTTCACTTTGGCTCAGCCTCTTCATTCTTTCTTGAGCTATTTCTCTGCTCTTGTCCAGTAGCATACTGGGCACCTACCGACCTGGGGAGTTCATCTTTCAGTGTCATATATTTTTGCCTTTTCATGCTATTCATGGGGTTCTCACGGCAAGAATACTGAAGTGGTTTGCCATTCCCTTCTCCACTGTAAACTCTGTACTAAGATGTATATAACAACAAAGTATCCTGCTTGAGAACTTGTTTCTCCTTCTTAAGAACCTTCTGACTAATCTGTTATCTTAAAATGTATATTATGGGAGTGGGTGTAGTAAGATCTTTCTATTGTTAGTTCTAATCCTATTATCTTAAAGTGTAAATTGTGGGAGTGGTTCTGGTAAGACCTTTACAACCTTGAGACATTCTTTTGATTTACTGTAATAACCAATGGAAAAACTAGGACTAGCAAGTTGGGCCCTCTCTGTCCGCCATCTGATGTCCATGTCAGAAGCTTTCTCTGTCCGTTTTCACTGTAATAAAACTTCTGCTACTCAAGAGACCTGAGCCTGGTCCCTGACCCTGAAGCTAAATCTTCTTTAGAGATTACGAATCATTCACTGTAAGCTATCAATTTCTTAGACTCCAAAATGAAAGGCAGGGGCTTTGTTTATAAACTCTATATCCTGCACCTATAGAGTTACACCCTTACACCTGAAAGCCATAAAAATGTTTACACTGTGTGAATCAGAAATTGTGATATTGTTCTGTGTTCCTGGAGGAAGCTGTGCCCTACTTAGCTAAACCTTGACCCTAACTGATAGTTATCCCAGTCACAACTTGGAATAATGTTGCCCAAGAGTTACCCTTATTGCCTTGTCACCTTTGCAATATAGGTGTTCTTTTCCTTATGATAAATGAAAATGACTTTTCAAATAAGGTGCTTAAAAATACTATTGCCAGCTGGAGCTGGAACCAAACTCAGGTTCAACTACTCTTGCTCAATGTTGGTGGAAATAGGTGCTTTATTCAGGAAGCCAACAACCTGGGGATATGGTAGACTAGTGCCCCCCAAACCATCTCCCAGT